TTATTAATACTTTATTTGCAATTAAAACTCAAACAAAAATTTACGCTCTGTTCACAGTTTTCTGCACATTAAAATTGACGATGGCCCCTTCAGCGAGGAGATTGCCCAGAAGTATCAGAACACAGCGCTGCAGATTGTCATACTGTGTCCGGCGCTGCTGGCGCTGCCGCACAGTTTTCTGATGGCGCAGCTGACGTCGGTCATACGCGTGGAGAAGGTGCTGGCCATTTTGCTGGACGTGGGCGAGGATAAGGTCAAGGAGATGCACAAGACGGCGCTGCCCAACTATTACAAGTGGCGGCGGTGCGTGGTGCGGGACAACGATCAGGCGCAGATCAGTCACATTTTGGGCATTGCCACGGACATCCTTGGACGGGCACTGTGCCAGCGTCCGCCGTGCCAGGACAGCAGCAATGGCAACAATAGCAGCATTTCGCGCAGCATCTCCAGCTGCTCGGAGGGCTTCACAGTGCTGCCCAAGAAGGTGAAGCAGGGCCAGAACAAGGTGCTGGCCATATTGTCAGAGCCACTGAAGCCGAACGATACGCTCAAGCTGCTCGTAGAGAAGTCGGGCGAGCTGCTCGAGGTGCGCAATTTCAAGTGTCGCAATCCGTACACTGTCCAGTTCGCCATACCCGAGTCCTGCATGGAGATCTCCACAATGATTGAAATACGCATCGAGAAGAACAACAAGAGCCTGGGCGCACGGCCCATCAAGTGCGAGAGTCGGCTGCGTGAGCTGGAGCAGCTGCTGCGCGTGGAGGACTCACCCATTGAGTTCATGTGCCACGCTTTGGGCGTGGGTCCATTGGAGCGGGATGCTCTGGACCAACATCTGCTGCAGTGCTTCCAGCGCAATATGCCGCCCAATTTCCATCTGCTCAACGGACCCAGCGAGCGCCATCCGCACTTTTTCACACGCCTCGAGTCGAGCCCCGAGGAATATCCAACACTTTTGCACTTCGCCGCACGCTGGGGCCTCAATCGGCTCTGCCTGCAGCTGATGGAGTGTCCCGGCGGCGATACGGCCTGCGGCGTGCGCAACTGCGCGGGCCGTACGCCCGCCGAACTGGCTGAGCAGGAGGGCCACCATAAGCTGGCCCAGAATCTGGTCAGCTTCTCGGAGTTCCACAATCTCACAATGGTCTATCACTACTTCAAGGGCGTGGACAATGCCAGCAGTGGAGCCAGCAGCCCAGGCGCCCAGACCAAGCCGTCGAGCAGCAAGGGCGCCCAGGTGGTCATTGGCACAGCAATGCCATCATCGCCACGCAGCAAGGCACCCAAGCAGCTGCCCTCGGCTGAGTACATGGAAATGTCCAGTGGCTCGGAGCGCGAGAATACGCCGGAGGTGCGTGCCAAGACTGAGACAATGGCCATATCGAATCTCAATTACATCAGCGTGGAGACCGAGGATGAGAATCTGCAGAGCTGCTCCACGGAGAAGAATCTAGAGACCAACAAAGTTCTCGATGCGCCAACTGGACCCGAGCAAACTACCAATGAGCTCCGCATCAACGAGCCGCCATACTATCAATCCAAAGAGCAAAACAAGTCGCAAGACGTGGTGGACAGCAGTGGAGCAGCCAACTATCAGGCAACGGACAAGTTCAGCCAGGAGTGCTCCCAACTGCTGGAGAACCAGGCGACGGCCGGCAATGACTACGTCCTGCAGCCCTCCAACATACCTGTGCCACCTGCTCTGCCCGCTGACGATGGCAACTATCTGTTCCAGCCCTCCAATCGGCCGGTCGAGGAGCCGCTGCGCTTGAGCCGTTCCACTACGCGATTGCCGCAGCCGAACGGCTATGGCACGCTGAAGCGCAGCGCCAGCGATGCGTCCAGCAGCACACGAGCCAATGCCGACGATGAGCTGGCTGAGATTATGCACGATTTCAAGAACAATGTGCTGTCCATACGTGATGTGGAGCTGCTGGTGGAGAAGTGGAAGCATCGCAACGATGTGCAGCAGAGCTTCCGCGAGAAGCAGGAGCAAATCGATCAGCTGCGTCGCGAATACGAGCGCATACACGAGCACGTCAAGTCGCAGCTGAAGCGCGAAACGCCGTTCGAGCGCATCAGGAAGCTCTTCTCCAGGCAGAAGGGCGGCGACAAGCAGAGCAGCTGTGCGGACAGCCTGCTGGATGAGACCAAGAGCTCCATTGCGACCAGCTGCAGCTTGAAGTCCTCGGCGCGCCCCATCAGCTCGCTGAGCCTGCAGAGCGTGTCCAGCTCAAGCTCCTCCTCGGGTCGCCTCAGCACTGGCAGCAACTGCAGCGGCGCCTCACTAGGCGACTCTGGCACCCACTCGGATCACGAGGATCGTCGTCAGTTTGGCTGCCGTTTGGGCAACCCCGGCTCGCTGATGGATAACTATTTGGTGCCGCCGCCGCCGCGTCCCGTTTTCACGCCCGTCTCCACGCCCGGTGATGAACGACACCAGATTGTGTTCCCCTCGCCAATGTCCAGCTGCCAGCGCCTGCACACGCCCACCAGCCCCACTGGCTCCGATCACTATCAGATGTTTCCATCGAATATACCCGTCTATGGCAATGGCAGCCAGCCGCTGTCCACGTCGCAGAGCAGCAGCTATCTAAACACCATCATGGAGGCCAAGGAGCAGGACACCCAGCAGCAGCACAATTATCAAAACGGCGTCACCCTGCAGCCCATCAAACTGAACGAGCGACCCAACATCATCTACGGCAAGCTGACCAAGAGCCACTCCGCCAGCGGCTGCAGCTCCTTCAAGCCGAAACAGGTCGCCTGCCCGCAGGTAGGCAGCATTGAGGTGCAGGCCGAGGTCTATCAGAACGTCGGCGGCCCAGCGGCGGAAGAGGCCACCAGCCCGGAAGTTCCAGCCAAGGAGCAGGCGAACGAGGCGCCCAACTACATGAACTGCTAGGCCTAGCATATAAGTCTTCATATGATACATATGTAGTATATATATATATAAAACTAGCATAGGCTTAAGTGCATATATAATTTCGATATTGCTGGAATGAGTATAAACTAGTTAAACAGGCGGTTGTAATCGGCCCACCCCAAAACGCATACAATATATTTCTCGACTACATTTAACTCACATTTCTAATATATACACATTTCTAATATATACATAAATACATAATAATGCTATTGTATTATCCTTAGTTATCGTTCTCGATCTTTTAAATGTACATTATTTTGAAACGATTGCAAGCAACCAAAACAACATATCATATAGGATAAGGCTAAGGTCTCGTACCGACGAATTGCGTGTTTGTAATTCTAGATCTAAGTATTTCCCCATTTGTATTAAGCCTGGCATGCACAGCTGAGCATGAAAAACATATTTTTTCGCACAAGAGTTAAATGCAATAAATTGAATTCGTTAAGCAATGCAAACGCCTTTTACTTTTTTGCCATTGCACCTCGCTGCACGCGCAAAGCCGGGCAGCTTTTGGCGGTCTCGGCTCTGGTGGAGCCAACAGGAAATCATGCGGAAAGCCCACTACACGCAAAATGGGATTGCGACTGCCAACGTAAATTTTAACTGAAAAACACAGCAAGAAACAAGAAGGAATGAGCGTCGGCCAGTGAGTGGTGCCCGACTGTCAGATACTCTGTCATGTTGCTGCCGCCGCCTCCTCCCAAACTGGTGTCAAGAGTAGAATCTTTGACCACATACTGAGCTGATGGCCATGGGAGTATATATAAATTAGTTAAAAATATATATTTAACTTAAAATATATTTTGTAATAATTATTAGCAGTCAAATATATTTAGTTTATATAACTATGAGCTAATAAACTCTTTCATTAAATATCTAAGTTGCTATCAAACTTTCTGTTTTAAGCTACGATATTTTTATTTCAATTTTTAATACATAAAAATATATCATAAAAAACTAAAATTTAATTTAAAATATTTATTTTATACTTAAACAAGATTACTCCATTTAAAATTTTTTAACTATGTTTTTGCGCTGCCCCATAAAAAAAATTTCAGCGAGCGCGCTCAAATCAATCTCTAAAGCCCTCAAAAGTATGCTACGTTTTTTCAAATGCAGCAACCTTAAAGGATTATCATATGCATGCAGTTTTTTTTGTTATCATAATAGCAACTACTTTTGTATACACTTTTTATTTTGACTTTTCACCCACACACACACACATACACACATGTCCGTGCACACATTTACATGGCCAGCCAAGCTTTAACTAAGCCTGTAATTCTTAATTCATATTCACACTCGCCATCGTTGCGTACGCAGCATAGTATTTTTCCCAGCTGAGTACGCTGAGGGCTAAGCCGCCATTTTCCATTTGCGTTACATGCTGCTCCATGGGAATATGGATGGCTTCAATGCCAGCCAGCCAGCCAACTTCGCCCACACCCACAATATCCGGTTATTTGCGGCCCGTGCTGCCTGCACAGCTGTTGATGGGCCTCTCAGTTTTTTGTGCGTTTTAAAATCTATGCGTGTGTGTGAGTGTGCGTGTGTGGGTGAATTGTTTTAACGAGCTCAAACCTCAAAGTGTGCGCATAGTTGAGTGCCTGAGTACGAGTGAGAGAATGTGAACAGAGCTTTTTGAAAGCTCCAACTCATGTATTTAAGCAGAGCTTTTCAGGCAGGGTGTATCAGGCCAAGCAGCTGATATGTAAATAAAAAATAAAAATTCTTCAGAAACAGAAAATATTCTTCAACTAAATTTAAATAAGTTAAATAAATATAAATGATATTTAAAGTGCAGCTGCTTCGGAGTTGTTGTCAGTCAACTACCTCACCATAAACACCCTGTGCTTGGTACAATACACAAAAGTTCCTTTCAATGCCGCTAGTCAAAACAAACGCAGCCAAGTGAGAGCATGAGGAACAGTGAGAGACAGAGAGAGAGAGAGAGATAGATAGAAGGAAGAGCGCAATTGAGGGAGAGGAAAAAGCTTTTTGCTTTTGGCCAGGCTTAAGCGAACAAGTGTGTATAAAAAGGACATTTCCTTCAGTCGACTCTGTTAATTAAGCGCAACTGCGACGCAAACGTGCGCCACAACAATTTTGTGTCCATATAAAATGCATAATTTACGCCTAAGTAAAGACAAAACTTCTGTTGCAAATTATTCCAACAGCAAATAAAAGAAAAACCTGAAAAGTACTTTCAAATTATAGCCAGAAGTTGCTGGCTGAGTGCAAACTAAAACAACTTGATAATAGAAGGACTCTGGCGCATCCTCGTCTGCTGCTGGTGCTGCTGCACTCTCGTGTGAAAACAAAAACATTGGCGAAACTTTTTGAATGCCTGCATCTTTAACTGCGTAGTACGGAAAGTAAAGACAACGCTTAAATATTTAAAACTGATTCGACGCTAATTGAACGTGGGAGCTGCGTAATACCCAAAGCAATCGTAACGGCAGCAACTGTAAGTCTGAGAGTCTGAGAAGCGCATGGAACGGCCCCGCTAATAAATAATTGCAGGTAGGCAACGCTGACAGAAAACTCGCAAAATTTATGTGCAATTCCGCTGGCTCTGCTGACCAGGCGGCGGGCAGGTCGCGTTCATTTCTCATTTTCCATTTGTTTGCCTTTCAATTATGTTGTGACTGCGCCCGTCCTGCAGCATGCGGCCAAAGTTTAATTTGAATTTGTTTCCATGTGAAAACGCGAAATTGTGAAAATGTGAAAATGCAACCACTTCAAAGTTTCTGTCAAGCGTAGCATTTTTAATGATGCACTAAAAGTTAATGGCCCAGGGATCAGCCTCTCACATTCGCCGCTCGCCCTCATGAGAGCCGTTCAAATGTTAGTGAACACGCTAAATGCTTCTAAATATATGAAACACTTAGACTAGAGAAACTTTTCGAAAAAATTCACCCGATATAGTGTTTAAGTACTGGAAATTTGCAAAGTCAAATCAAATTTTTCTGCAATTTGTGGCTTTTTCCTAATCAAATCTGGCATAAATTCTTCAACGAATTCTTCAATTGCACACCAAATTCTCATAGACGAAGCATCGGCTATATAAATGTTACATACAAACCTATTTATATTTCCTTTAGAAATACTTATAGCCTTCTTATGCCTTTATTTAAAAGCTATACACTCGGAACTTTCAAGTTTTATAGATTTTAAATTGAGAAAAATTATATATTCCTCAGTTAACAACATTCAATTAATTAATTCAACATGATTTGCTCTTAAAATATATCGAAAAATTTATAAGTAGAAATTTTTGGGGGCGTGGCAATTTGGAAAAATCTATATCTTTAACAGTTTTAGAGTTAGGAGCTTCTCTAAAAATCGAGCCTTAAATAATATGCCTTGCCCATTCAGCCTTGGTGAAAAGCAAATTATTAAATTATTAAAATATTGGACATATCTTAGGTAATTATACAGCTAATCTAACTAGAATAGTTAGATTAAAATCAAATTCACTCCAAAAATTAGTAGCTCATCTTCATCTATTAGATAATCTCATCAGGCAGACTCAGATAGAGAGAGATGAAGAGCTTATCTCCCGTCTTATTTATTCAACTATTTATAAATATTTGCAGCTGGCAATACTTGCAATATAATGAATATAAAAGGATGAAAATAAGAGTAAATATTTAATAAAATATCTGAATTGCTTAAGGAATGCAGCACAGCACATTTTCTTTAGAATTAAATCTCAATTGAATATATAAAATGTTCTGCTATAATCTATAAAGATAAAGATAGATAATTTTAGGGATCTGCTCTATAGATACAGCTGAAATATGTAATATTCTATACACTTGAAGCTCTTTCACACACGTTTTATAGATTTCTAGAGAGTTCTTTTTCAACAATTAAAACGTGACAAAAAAGTAATGAAAGCGTTTCTTTTACAGTGCATAGAAATACATTTTTTTATAGTTTTGTTGACTTTTTTGTCATTGCTGCTGCGGTACTTGTAGCCAAACAACAACTTGTGTACACGCCCACACACAAACACACACACACACACGCACACCTGGCACATATTGCATTTATTGTGGAAATTCTATGCCACAAAAACATATACAAATGCATTCATATAGAGGACAAAGCCAAGAGAGATGCACGGCTTTCTTTTTGTGTGTCAGGGGGCAAGTGCCTTAGAAGCTGCCACACATACCCACACACAGAGCTTGGTATTATAATTTTAATTACCACTTGAGAGACAGACGGCTGCCGTGAGTCGGCCAAGTGATGGCATCTAATATATACAGAGCATAGAAGTACCAGATATATATATATATATATATATATATATATATATATCTATATATATATATATCTGGTACTATATATATATATATACATATATATATATATATATATATATATATATATATATATATATATATATATATATATACATATACATATATATATATATATATATATATATATATATATATAAATATACAAAGTATATATAGAAACTGCGCGAACAATGCGTACAATTCCGTTCAGTTGTATTGCTTGACGGGCTAAGCAGATTGAAAACATGGCAGCTGCTTACAGCTAGCAATATTGCGCATACGCCACGTAAGCACGTCAAAGGAATGCCACAGCATAATTGCGCATTTGCCGCATCACTAAGCTATTAAGCCACAGCCACAGCCATTGCTTTGGCTCAGTTGTTTGCCACATCTATCGATTAGCAATGTTTAAAGCATAAACAATACTTTGTTAAGTTTTCAGCCAAAAAAGAAAATTTTAAGGCAAAGCGAAAATAAAAAGTTTCGCAAAACTTTGGGCAGCAGCTTAAAGCCTTAAGTAATAAGCAGTTGGAAAAACTTAAAATTTTATAGCTCACTTTCTAAGTGGCTTGCACGGAACGTAGCACAATTCGGCGACTGGCTTTTGGCTGGCAGCAACTGCAGCTGCAACAAGGCCAAATAGGCAATGTGATCATTATAATCATGCAATTTGGACGCGGCCATAATGGCCAGCCAGCCAGCCAGCCAGCCAACTAGCAGCGCCAATAGCCTCAATCGACACACGTAATAGGATAAGCACAAACAGAGAATGCTATAATGGTTTCCCAAGTCCTTTTGATGAACATCGTAAATTCGTTTTTATTGAATAAAACCATGTGACAGTTATAGCCAAGCAAGGACAAAACAAAAGCCAAAAAATATGCATATGTGTAAAGAGAGAGGGAGAAAGAGGCAGAGTGAGAGAGAGAGAGGCAGCCAGGCAGTTGGGGGCGTCAAACGTGTATCCAATTAAAAGTAACTCTTGTCTTCGCCGACTGACCGACAGGCAAATGTGAACGGTTTCAGCTTATTTAACCAGTCTTTTGGCAACGGCCTCCGCCAGTGCCACGCCCCTGTTTTTGTTTTGGCCAAAAACGCAGCGATTTGGCAAACATATTCACACAGTCGCGACAATATCGTCGCCAAAAATGTTTTTTCTTCCTGCTGGTAAATTATTGCTCAGCTGTGACCGTGGTTCGTTTTAGTTGTGTTTGCCTGTAACTGCGCTATGACCGACATGTGACCCCAACTCACACACACACAGAGACACTCGCACATGGCTCAAATTCAACTTCATGCTTCGCTGGCTTTAAATTCGTTTGCATTGAAAAGGCTTGCGCAATAATTCATCAATTTGAGTGTCCCGGCCACACGGCAAACATTAGAAGCACACAATTCGCCTGGCGGGCGTATTAATTATGCAAGTCGTTTTGCTGCATCACACGCAACTGTTCCACTCCCACGCCTGCTCGCATCGCCCGATGGCGCGGCGCCTCCGGCAATTGTCACTGGCGTGGCATACGCAACAGCTGTGCAACCGAATGCAATTGCTAATTAATCAAGCCCCGACTCAGGTTTCTTGCCAAGTGGCAGCCACTTTGTTAACAGAAAACATTAACCACCCACTCTCAGCCTATTTGATAAGCTAATGTTATATATTTAATGCATTTGAAATGCAATTTTACTGTAAAAGCCAGCAATAATGTTGCAGTTTGTTGTCTACGATCCGACAACAGTTAAATGTATTCTAAAATCCATTTTTTCGGACTTTACAAGCCCCAAGGTTGAAATCTAACTGTGAAGGATATAATTCTTCTGAAATCAAAAGATATTCACTCAAAAATATTGGAATTCATTTGCATCTTTTAAATTCAATCTATCTTTGCTCTTAAATAATTAAATTTTCTCTTATTAGAAACAAACTTAACGTTACGAAAATTGGTTTCGTCTCTCTATATTTGAAATATGATTTCATTCTAAGTATTTCTTATTTATACATACCGAAATCTTTCTCGAATACTTTCTACCAATTTTATGATATTTTTCTGTCCAAATCGCATTCTTCACGAGGAGTCAACTTTGATCATATTTTAAAGAGTTCACATGAAGTGCAAAGCTAATATAAGTCTTAAGCATTTTTTTTATTTTATAAAACTATAGTTTACCGAAACTGAACAGCATCATATATATGCTATGCTCTACTAATGTAGTTAGTAGATCCAATGCAAGCAATGTCCTTAGCTGTCAAGCACTTTCCCCAAACAGCAATAACTAATTATAATATACAGCCAACAGGTGAGCAGAAGAACCTTCAAGTTCAGTCATAGGCAGTTTTTGATATTCGTTTTCAGTATCATTTCACCTTTAATCACTTGAGAATTATATGGCTTGTGTAAAAGGTGTCACAGTAAATGAAGAAATTAATGAAATACTCTGAGTATAGCTGATGGCTCAACTTAATATTTGTATTATTTATATTTTTAATCTGTGTATATACCTAAGAAACATTAATTTTGTATAATGTAAGCAATCAACATTTATCGTAGTAGATAATATAAATGTGTTCTATAGAAAACAGAATAACCTTAAGAATGTCAAATGGAATGGCTTAAAGAGATAGAGAGAGAGAGAGAGAGGGTGTTCAATAATATAATTAATAAAAAACACAAGTCAATTGAGATAGTAATTATATATAATAGATACCAAAACAGAGCTCGTAGCTTGTAGTTTCAAGCCTCAGCTAGGTGAGAGTCGCTGGCAGACTTCAACTGTTAACTGGAACTGGGAGTTGCTCGGGCTGGCTTTGCCCGATAATAATTTCAGTGTTTATAGCTTGTCGCTTGTTGAATACATTAATGACCAATAATTGACGGTGAGCACGCAAGCTTTTATGGACTATTAAGTAAATATGTGTATAGCAAAGACTTCAGAACTTGAGGCTTAAAAATGCTATAAGAAAACGGGAAATTTAAAGCTTTTGCGTCTAAATAAAAATTAGATGAGACTTAAAATTATGCTAAAGGCCAAAACGTTTAAGCCAAAATGCAACATGTTCGAGTGTTGAGTGCTGAGTGTTGGGCAAAAGTAAGTGAACAAACGAAATGGCCAATGGCCGGGGCAGCTAAACAAAAACTTTTGGAATACAGTCGCAAATTTATATATCTGTGTGTGGAGTCGCGTGACAGGCAGGCAAAGGCTGGCGGGCCAGACAGGTCTGACATTTGAAAATGGCAAAGCAACAGCAAATAGGAGACTCGAACTTGGAGCAGATCAAGCGACAAGCAAACAAATCGCAGACAACTGATTGAGTGACGTGCTGTTTGCCCAGAACTGTAACTGAGACAGGACGAAGCAACAGTGACAGCGACTCTAGAGTAGACTGAAAGCAATTAGAATTCAATACATTCGCCAGCAAAACATGTAATTAAGCGTGATTTGGCGAGACGGTTGACAGCAGAGCATAAAGTGCAATGAGTTATGAGCCAGGTACAGCCACAGCCATTTAAATATATCCAGCTATAAATATATGCATTTGCACGACCCTGCACTGCGGCCGACAGAGTCATAAAGTAAATCAAAGGATTGTCGTGCTGTAAATCATGTGAAAGTCCTTGACAGTGTGCGCCAAAGACCGGCAGGCACGACTACGACCCCAACACCGACTGCCGGCACCGAAGCCAACGTCACTTAGTCATTTACAACTTTCAATTACTGAATGAAGCGAGCACACACAGACACAGACACAGCCTGGCTGACTGGCTGACTGAATCGGCTGCACAAATAACAAATATCCGTAGCATAACTGCAGGCGTTTCATGGCAGGCGCCAATTAAGACCCAAAAACGTAAACAATTTCTTGCATTTCCATTTCACACCAGTTACCAATGAAAATAACATGACAGCTAACGACGGCAGCACAAGTTTAACACAATGCGACTAAAAAATACCCTGTAAATATTATTTTCTCTTTTGTTCTTTATAACATGATTTTTTATATTTTATTTATTTATTTATTTTTGTTTTATTTTTTAAATGAATTTATTTGAAGATCAATTTTATTATATATTTAATTTTAATTTCATTTTAATTTCATTTTAATTTGACGTGATTTATATTTTTTTATTTTTATTTATTTTTTTAATTTTTTTTATGAAATCAGCAAATTATTATTTAAATAGGATAGTATAGGATAGTAGAGGATGATCCTTAGAAGCAGTCTTCAGGTTAGACTATTTGTTTAGCTTCTAAAGTTACCCAATGGAGTTCGCAGAATCCTTAAATCCAAAGACTTTTTCAAGGAATTTCATCTTCTATAAATTCAATATACAAAATACTTGAGTTTATAAACGAAACATCCAATTACATTTTCCTTTAAACAACAATTTCTATAAGTTTACAAAATTCAGCGAAACTTTCTTTCAACTGCTTGAAACTTTACAGGGTATAACTACGTTTGCGTGCTATGCTGCGTTAACTCTGTTCAACTAGTAACCAACCAACCACCCAGGCAGCAGCTGCACCACCCCCACACATAACAGGCACCACCTTCGCCCTGCCAACCCACCCAGTTTGATTTCACTTTTTGCCGCAGACTTAACCAAATAGTATATATCTGTGTGGCCTCGTCTGTGGTTTTTGCAATGCTTTGTGCCGAAAGTGAATGCAACGCACACACATATACAGAGAGACACATGTGTGTGTGCACATGTATGAGTATGCTACTGTGTGCAAAAGGTCGAGCTGCATTTATCTAGTTGCATTGAAATTTGCATTTGGCATTTTGAGTTTTTCGCTCTTTGTGAAACTTTTGATTTTCATTTTTCTTTTGTTTGCTTTAAGCAGCGCCTGTTTAGCTCTTTAAGGTCAGCGGAAATGCTATCCAATTAGCGATAATCATCGATTTAATAGCACTTACTGGCGAATCGATAATTTGCCTTTGCTCTTGCTGTTGCCTTTCAGTTCCACTTTTCAAACAATACGCAGAAGATGCAAGCGCAAGTTGCTTAGGCCATAGTCTGAAGATATAAGAAGCAGCACGAACCCAGCGTCATGTCAAATGTAAGTAGATCGCAAAGAGATTCGATTAGAGCTAAGGAAACTGTGCGTTGATTGCAGCTGCTTGACATGGACAAATCAAACGGCAACGGCCTCTATGCGACCGGCAGCTGCCACACGGACAATGTGGCTGCCACAACAGCAACAACAACAACGACAGCAGCAGCTTTGAACATAAATAATATTATGAATGGGGCCGCAGCTGTAGCAGCGGCTGCAGCAGCTGCCACGCTGCCCACGTCCGCCTCCAGCGAGGACCTCAGCCAGAGCCTCTCCGAGTACACAGATGCCGACGAGAGCATATCAGCGCCCACAGAGTTTCTCGCCGAGGTAAGTGAAATGTATTCAAATGCAAATTGCAAAAAAGAAGGAAACAAATTTAATTTGCGAATCCTTTCAAGAGGATTATTGAAAGTTGGCTTTGTGCGCCGGCTTATTGATTGCTAATAAATTGTTTTCGAGCGCATTTAACTTTAAGTCCGACCAACTTTTGCCGTTGTATCCAATGTGGGCCAATGGGCCGGGCCATTGTTCAGCTGATAACTGCATTTATATACATACATAAATATGTATATCTGCCAAGAGTTTGACGCAATTTTAATCTCATTTTTTGCATTTCTTTTTGTTCTATAATGCAGTTTCTGTCGGCTGTCATGCTCAAGGACTATAAGAAGGCTTTGAAATATTGCAAATTGAGTGAGTGCCATGCCTTAACCCTTCTAACTAGATCTGTTCATTCAAGCATCCTACTTTCCAGTTCTGCAGTATGAGCCAAACAATGCCACGGCCAAAGAGTTCTATCCGCTCATATTGGACAAGCTGCGTGGTGGGTTCATATACATAGTTATATCTTTCGTCTGGCTTGTGTTCAGTTAATTAATCGCGTATTTTGCAGTGGCCGCATCGAGCGACAGCGACGAGAACTATAATAAATCCTCATCACCTGAGCTGGCATTGGATTTGGAGGCACCCTGCGAGGATAGCGTTAGCAGCCAGGAGGAGGACAATGATGATGACGATGATGTCGATGATGTGGACGACGTCGATGATGTGGATGACGATGAGGATGACGATGATGACATTGACAATGTCGATGTGGAAGAGGAGAGCAGCAGCAGCGGCGATGATTACGAGCTACCCATTGATGAGCAACAGGACCCGGCTGCCGCTGACAGCCTGGCAGCGCATATAACTCACTCGCATTCCCATTGTCACTCCCACAACGACTCGGGCTCATCGCGCAATTCGTCGAGCGGCGGCGGCGGTCGCAGCGACAATACCACACACTCGTATTCCAGCCTGCTGCTGGAGGAGGAGGACGACATTGTGCCAGTCAATTTGCAATTTGGCAACAAGGAGCCGAACGCAACAGATTTGGATGTGAGCAACGGTAGGTGCCAAATTCATAATTTACCAATATTTGCCAATACATCAATCTATCCGTATATATCTATATGTATGCTAGGCAACAAGGTACCGTCGGCTTCGTGCAGCGATTCGGAATCTCCCACAGAGCCGCTCACCCAGCGTTTGGCCGCCATTTTGCGCTCCAAATGCGGCGTTTCGGCCAATAAGGATTGAGACGCTACCGTTATCAGCAGTTCGCAATTGCATATACCAGCTATATGTATAAGTGTGTGTGTGTATACTACATATATATATATATATACATATATGCATAACTATATTCTTGTACTTCTACTCGTACTCAATGAGCTAAATGTTTACAATTCCTTTGCCCAAACTAAGTAACTAGTTTCCACTAGTTGAGATTCGCTTTACAAACCTAGAAACCGTCCCAAACAGCATACAAGTATATTTCCAATTTGCAATAACTATAGCAGCGAGTTATCCTTTTTTGAAAAACAGAAACATAAGCAAAAGAAAACCAATTCCCTAGACAAACATATCGTACAAACTTAATAAGTACTTACAGTAGTCACATTTGTATTGTGTATGTAAATGAGTATATAACCTAGATAATAATATGCTCCATTTGTTAACGAGCCCTCAATAATAATGAATATACTATTATATACATATATACACACATATATATATACATACATATATATATTATTATTATACATACATAACGAATGATGTAACAGAATCTATTTTAGTAAGACACACCCATGCAAAACGCACAGGACTTGGAATATTGTTGGATAACTTTACACGTTTAGCGTTTTATAGAGGGCGATTTTTTTCCAAACAATTTATAATAATAGTCTTACATATTAAGGAAACGGAAAGTTTGGATAAGTCTGATAATATGGAATGAGGCAAATGGAACTACAACTGAAATGGTCCAAAAGTCATAAACTATATTTAACGAATACCATATATATAATTCATTGCGATTTTAGTAATTTATTAAGATTGATTTTTATCAGTATACGTAAAATTTCCGATATAACCATATAACTATAGATATATAACTTATGAAGCCCGCTCCACGAGCTTTCGACACTATACTCTGTACTTCTGTTTGTGGAATGAGATTTGATAAGATTGAACTCTCTGTACATCCTTAATATTTGTAATAATTATTATTGGTGTTAGTAATTCAGTTCTAATTCAACTGTACGTAATCATATTGTATTCGAAATGTATTATACGTATAACGGATTGTATCATTAAAAGTTGTAATAAAGAAAGAAGGCGAACACTTGTTGCGTTTTTATTACTTAATTTAAGAATTTTCTAGATCATGATGGATATATTTGCATCTTTTATGATTGCATACTACTATGGCATTCATATATGGGACATGTATATTTTTAAACCACATATGCACATATACAAGCGATCAAACAGATTCACGTTGAGCTCCATGTGTAAAATAAACTCCATATCTCCCATTCTCTGTCTCTATCAGTCTTACATATTATTATAAAAGAGAAACCACAAATCACCAATTACAACTTATGCACTTACGCCATCATTAAAATAACGGGATCAAAATCATTGTAACCAATGGCGTGAGCGCCTTGCACATGTCTCTCTCTCTCTCTCTCATATCTCTCGCTCATGAATACTTGCTTACTTAATTGTGCCTGCTGTACACATTGTCTGCAGTCCACACTCCATCATTAGGATAACGGAATCAAATTCATTGCAACCTTACCGTGTGCACCTCTCTCGCTCTTACTTACTTACTCAATAGACCGAGAGTCTCTGCAATCCACACTTTAACAGTAAACAAATCAGCCAATAACGTGTCAATAATGGACGATAAAATTAACATCAACGGTGAGATCCACAGAAACTATTTTGTACTTCTTAAGCAGAATACTTACACTTAACATTATCTGAATTACTAAACAGTAATAATATAAACCATATTATACATTTAAACGCTTGAAAAGCATTTATTTTATATCGATTATTATCAAAGAACTTTTTGATGTCGGTATATATTAATTTATAACATGAATCGAATAACGTATTTATGTACCGTAATTCTATTCGTTAATTTTCGCATTTTTCTTAATTTTCTTTATAAAACTTGAAACTTGCATTGTTTGTTTTTAAAAAACACTTACGATGATTTATTTCGTTTATTATGATTCATGTTAATCGAGATTTTTTTTCTGTACTGGAGAACCAGTTTTACGGTTAATGTGAACGCCAGTTGGACTGTTTGTATAACTGTATCAAAAGAGTTTTTCTTGAAAATCGATAATACAAAAAGTTTTCAAAATTGTATCTTTGTATTTTTACTATTTTAGTGCCGAAATATATATTTATATATATATATATATATATATATATATATATATATATATATATATATATATATATATATATATATTTATATATATATATAAATATATATATATATATATATATATATATATATATATATATATATGTTTAACTTCTATGCCCCACCAGTTGGGCATCTGATATGTAACAAACTACTATGATGAACAATGAATTGTTTTTTGATTGCATTCTCAATTTGAATACTGCTTTTGCATTTGCTTTGTATAATACTTATGTATGTGGCTCCAGCCACCTGAAAATTATTGTTTCTATGTATTATCAGCACCATTGAACTAAAACTGTACCAAAAATACAAAAAAAAGTAAAGTCATAACAAAATTATTTCTATTATCATGTTGCATAATAAATAATGTAGCTCAGAATTAAAATCAGGTAATGAAGCTTTGTTTGTATCGTAAATTGCACGTATTTGTTTCTGTTTTCCGAATATCGTATATGTTTGTTTGAATCCAAGTCTCAGTATGTAACACATCGAATTATATATATAATTACAAAGAAACGATAATTGTAATTCTTTTTTTTAAATGTTCTTGAATATTAGCATACTTTAACTTAAGTTTACACTTATCCACATATATTTGAAAATACGTTGATATATCTTTTGTCGTGTTCCTAACAATCATTGTGAAACATTTGTTTCTATGCTATCCTTCAAATTTCTACTCTCCCGATTTTATATCGTTGATATATGTGCCTTAAAATTACATCTAAATTTGTCCAAGACATGCAAATATGTACATTAATTTTGTGGGTTTAACAATATTAAATTAGTATGCTTATCGCTTTCACTGAACTCTTAGGTCAGGGTGCTTTAGAAGTCGGCTAAGTCTGCGTGTATATGTTTATCGTAGAGTATATCGTATATGCACTTAACTATTATATTCAATAAAAAGAAACTTTCATTTGAAAACTTCAGGTGTTTCTTGTACTGTTCAGAGAAATTACATATGCAAAAACGTATGTGTGTGTAAATGTGTATGCGTCTGTGGGTGTGTATTTATACCTCTTTATGCTATAACATCTTTGTATGTATTAGTGCAAATAGAGTTAAGCGATTCAATTGGCACTACAACAATAATAGAAACAAAAGAAAAACAAACTAAAAATAAAGAGATAAGCTTACACAAAATATTAAAAGTATTTATTTAAAATACAACATTAATGCAAAAATAAAACATTACGTTTACAAAATTAAAATTAAACGTTTTTTATCTTTAGACTTAACTGGTAAATATATCTACTAGACTTAAATGAAAAGTACATACAGCAGCCGGAGTGGCTTGGCAAATAATTCAACAGCTTACAGACTTACAGGAAAATGAAAAACTTCTGGGCAATAATTAAACAAACTAAAAACGAAAAACAATTAAATTTACGTATGTGTTTATAGGTATCAGTCGATGAAGTTTATGTGAGATAAGCTACAAACATAATCATGCAATGTGAGTGTAGAGAATTTCGCATCTTTAAACTTAGCCCAGGCTATAGATACATTTTCAAAATTCCACTTAATCTCTCCAGTGCAGCCCACATATTTCAGCGCTTTGTTCTGTTCTTAGCTTAAACTAAGCTAATGTCTAAAGGGTGCCGGGCGGGCGAAGGGACTTGTGGGTGTATCTATATATAAATGGCAGCTGCCGAATTGCAGATGATCGCTTCTTTTCTGTGTGTATGTCCGTGTACATATTGCCTATGCACAATACTACAGTAAAACTAAAATGTCGAATATATATAAAAATTAAAATGAACGACCGAACGTTCGGGGCTATCGAATCACAGCTTCGCCATGGCGCTGGCTGTGATTTAGTACCGCTTCTATAAACAATTTGTGGTCTCTTTTGCATCCTCAATGTTGGTGTGGTTCTTGATGAGCAGCTGTGTGGTTGGATACTTGTTGAGCTGCGCAAACCGCTCCATTACACATGAGGAGCTGAGACGTGCCTCGGCATCGTGATCCCAGCACTCTTCCATCGTGTCGCAGAATATACTGAGACCCTGCAGATAAAAATAAACGTATGCATTAAGTAAAACGACTAATTGCAATTGGAAATGTGAATAATATCTTACCAAATGGGAACGCCAGCTGTTAAGCAAATGTGGACGCAATTTCTTCATGACGACGCTTTCCTGCACTTCATCGAGTGTGGGCCGCTGTCCAAGCTCCGCTTCAAATGGCAGCTGATATTCGCCCACGGGACCCACAACATCACAACGTGAGACCATTTCCCACAATACCAATCCACAAGCATAGACATCGATGCGCAAAAAGGCATCACGATTGAAATTGATTGCACCTTCGAGAACCTCAGGAGCCATATAGCGGCGAGTGCCCACCTGGCCGTGTGTATCGCCGCACGGTTTGCCAGGCTGAAAGATCATAGCTAGCCCAAAGTCAGCTATGCAGGCTGTCAGATCACCTTTAAGCAGAACATTCTTTGATTTAAAGTCGCGATGTGCTATCGATGGCTTCAAGCCATCCGTTTTGCTGCCCAATATCTCCTCGTGCAAATGCGCCAGCCCGTTGGCCATCGATTCGGCAATGCGACACAATTCCACCCAAGTGATCGTATGGGACTTCAGATAGTCGCACAGAGAGCCATTGTGTTGATACGTGGATATAAGCCAATACTCGGGCTTGTCCAGGTGTTTCTCCACGCCCAAAAACTCTAAAATGTTCGGATGACGCATGCGTGGCAGCTTATAAATCTCATTCTCAGTGGTCCACGAATCTTTCTCTTGCATACGAAAGATTTTTACGGCCACATCCTGGCCGTGCAGCTTTGCCTGCCACACATCGCCAAACCGACCGCTGGCCTTCTGCTCCAGCAATTGTATGGGACGGTTGTTCAGCAACGGCGACGAGTTTGTGATTTCCGCCTCGTGCTACAAGGAAAATGATATATAAATAGACGTTGAAACGAAAGCAACTGCAACTTACCTTGGGTATCTCATTGAAGTGCACCCGTTTAAGGCGTCGATAAGAGAAGAAACTAACCACGGGCAACACCATCAGGAAGGCAAACAACGATGACCATAAAATATAGAAATTCATATTTTTGTTGTCCTGTGTCTTCTCTTTGGGCACTGCAAACAAATAATGAGAAATATTATTGTACTCGCATTTGCATATGTGTAAACGTAAATTGTAGATGTTTTTGTCAAGCCCTTTAAATGCTTGCTTGCCACAGGTGAACAACATCTCAAGTGGCACCTGTAGTTGGCACAGAGGGCTGACTGTCAGGCCCACAAGCGAAACGATAAAAAAGGAAAAAACGAAAGTTCGCCCCCAATTTGGCATCTCTTTATGCACTCATGTATATATATATAATTTGTATGCTGAGATAAAAGCGAGCTAAGCATAAAAAGAGAAAAACAGAAACAAAACAACAAAGTGCAAGGCATGGCACAAAAGATACATACCAAAGAAAATGCAAAGCCACCCCCAATACACAAAAAAAAAGAAATAAATAAAAAAAACAAAAACAAAAATGGGGGAAAAACAGCAACAAGAACGGAGCATAGAGTACGGCGAAGCATAGGGAAATTGCAACACACGCGCTAGCTTATGAGGATGCTGAGAGGCAGCAGCACCTCGTGCAGAGAGTTCGTTAACATGAACCAAAGTTGCTAGGGTCGCCTCATTTGGGGGTTGAGAACACATAGCGTAAATATGTATGTGTGGAATGCTAAAAATTGGGGTAAACATCGAAGACACATACGAAATATATAAAATTAATTATAGAATCATTCGCACCTTGTGTTGTTGCCTCCGTGGTGGGCGGGATCCAATTGTATTCGTTGTTGCACATCGAGCCCTTGCAGCAGCAGAAATGTATGTTGCCCTGCCGAGGCTTGCTGCTGGTATTGCAGGCGGTCTGGTTGCACTCGTGCATGTACGTGAAGCAGCCCTTCATTTTGATTTTCTTGGCGCCTGCAGCAGAAAACAAGAATATAAACAAAAAATTAAACAAATATATCTTCGAATAATATGGCAAGCTGTACACACCGGTCACATCGTCGGCGCTCCACAAAACATAGCAGCTGGGAAATTTGTCAGCCTCCACCTGGCAGCGCTCGATGGTGATGGCGCAATCGTTGTGCGTGGTGCAATCCTTCTCGTCATAGTGTTCGCAGTTAATGTTGTGGCCCTCGGGCAGGACGGCACCACTAGCCGGCGGCAACAGCATATGGCAGGCTGTCCAAAAAAAATACAATAAAAGAAAGGTATATAATGAGAAGTGATGTATTAAAATGGCAGGCATTCTAGAATAGTAAATAAGTTGGCTTAAATAGACTCCAGCGGCTGCCTTTGTAAACATATCACGTATCTACGAGCTAAGGACCAACGACCCCAATTCGAATCTCAATCCCAACGGGCTAGAGCTTTGCTGTTGCTGTAGGGAGTCAGTCCTCAATGAGCGTTGCCATTGAAAGCCAAGCGCCCAACTTTCCATAGTCCACAGCGAGTGCAACGCAACCCCAATTCGTGCAGAGGGCCATACAAAATTAGCTCCACTGGCCACCCGAGCCTTTGAGTGGTCCCTATAACCCCAATGCAAATGCAAATGCAAATGCAACTGCTGCTCCGTGTCTGTCTCTGTGTTGGGGCTGTGTGCACAATTCGCGCGCAAATCCACGTGTGAGTGCAGATTTACCATAGCGCACAGTGGTGTGTAGTTCATATTAAAAAATTAATAAACTGGACAAATTCACTACCGTTTATGTGCCTTGACTGGTTCTAATTAGAAATATATTATTTTATAATATATACAAAAATCCACTTTCATAAGTTCCTTAGCTATTACGTTTTTTAAATCAATATTAAAATCTGCGTAAATATAGATTTTAAAAATTTAGTTTTTGAAAAATCTGCTATTCGACAGGAAACTTTCAATTTGAGCATATTCATTAACATATATAAATTAGCATCAATTAAACATACTTAGCCCCACTGTAAACGAGTAATCGGATCTCTCTAAGTGTGTGTGTGTGCATATATGCTTGTATGTATGGGAGCATGCTTTATAGTAAAGTAGATACATAAGCATGCACATTATGCAGATTGAAAAGGGATGAGTTTAAAGTGGCGCTTGTTGAAAATAAAGAAACAACAGCTACAGCAATAACAATAACAGCAACGGGAGAGAGAACGCACTGAAGCGAGAGAGTAAAACAGATTTTCACCCACGCGAACTCACAAACAACAAGTTCCTAATGCAACGTCATCCATTCAAAGAAATCATTGCATATACACACTCACATACGTATGTATGTGTAGATTACAACTGTAGTTGAAAACAACAGCAAAGTGCACTAAGAACAACTACAAAGCACGCGCCAAGCAATTCAATCAGGCGTAACAGAGGGCAAGTGTACTAAGGAAATTGTAAATAATATCGACAGCAAACCATTACGTACAAACAAAATGAACAACACACAAGCACACACATATTATACATACATCCACACAATACAAATTTATAAACTATTTTCAATACATACCAAGAATTAGCTGCGCCACTAGATAAAGCACAAAATCGTACCTAGACATTGTTATTGCGTTATCGCTGTAACTTGTTTACAACACTAAATGTATACGTAACTAAATACACTAGCGATAGATAGTTGAAGAATTTTTGTTTTATTTTGGCACATACAAAATTTTCTGGGAAAATTGTGTTTTACATTTAAATCAGTCAATTGTTAGCGTTAAATGCTTGTTGGCTGACTATGTTCGTTGCACCTTTTAATCCAAGAAGTTAATATTTGATATTATGTATATGTATATATTATGTATACATATGAAGCGGTGTGCGTGTTTGTATGAAATTTATTTTCTGCTGCTGCAGTCGCAGCAAAGTTGCGGACCACACGTTTTTTCCATGTGCATTTTCACGATTTCGATTGGCATTCTCATTAACGCTGTCATCACATTTTTTCTTGTGCCACTTTAAATGCGCTTTTAAGCTGCATTTTATGCTTTTATCTAATTATTATTACGCGATTTATTCATTTGTACGCAGTTCCTACTCGCAACTACGATTGTCACAATTGGTACATGAGTACCAAAACTGCGAATATTTACCAACACGTACTTTTAAGCTGTAGCCCTGGTGAAACCGTATTAGTTATACTACAGTTTAATTGGTACAACTGAACTGTTTACCAGCACTCATGTTTAGTAACAAAGCATTACAATTGAGCGTCGATAAATATTCAAATTTGCTAGAGAAATTGATATTTTCAAATTAATACGGTCACACTGAGATATATTTAAAATACGTTAGAATACGATTTAATAAAAATTTATTTTCAGAAACATTTTGTAACAAAAAATAATAACAATTTAGCTATTTTAACAGCTTTCATTTCGCTTAACTTTATAATGTATGCACACATACAATAAAAACTTACGACATGCAATTTCTCAGAAATTCTGATGACTGCAACAGATGACGTGTTGAATGTCACGTTCTGATAGTTTATCTCGCCAATGTTCTGATTAGATATACGAATAATACAAATACATTTGTTTACAAATATTATATACAATAGTGAATAGTTTTCTTAGATTAGCATCACTTGGTTCCGTCGAGCTTGGTCAAACCATCGGCGTACTGGAACTCAGGGCTGTTTTCGTACTCGCACATGTCCAGGGCTATGACACAGCTCTCCTTCACGACTCGCTTGTCATCATCGGCATAACGGTTTAGTATCCCAATGCATTCCTCAGTAGCAATGGCGCCCAAAGCTTCGGCGCACTCATGACGAACCATTTCATTTTCATGGCGATCTTCGAGATTCTCCTGTAGATAGCGTATGCTGCATGGATCCTGTAGCTGGCCAAGCACAAAGGCTACCTCGTGCCGGAACAATGCTGACTTGTCCTTAAGTCCTTCAGCAATGGCCAAAACACTTGCTTCTGTACGCAAGTTTCGCAGACTGAACATGGCTCGATAGCGATCGAAGAGACTCTGTTTCGCATCCAAATAAATTGCCCTTAACTCTTGCACGCTTTTTGTTCCTGCTGCGGGCGGCGACGGATCCACTGATGCATACGGATTGTTGTCTTCCACTTGTTGTCCAGTCTGCAGCCAGCGCACACGATCCAGGGCAATGGCACAAGTCTCGGCCACTTCAATAACTGGATCGTCTTTGTATTTCTCAAGTATAGGAAGAACTTCGGGATGGCCAATGGCACCCAATGCTTCGGCAGCCTCATGACGTACCATGGGCTCTTGGCTGGTATCCTGTAGCACTTTTGTCAATATTTCAACTGCTTGATTGTCTTGCATCTGTCCCAAACAGTAGGCCAATTCATGTTTAAGCAATGCGGAATCATCATCAAATGCTTTACTAATTGCTTCAATGGCAGTGCCTCCACCGATGTTTTTTAATGTAAAAAGTGCACGAAAACGCTCCTTGAGTGGACGTTCTTTATTGTTAAGCACCCTACCAATGGCTTTGATCTGTTCCTGGGATACCATGTCTGCTTTCCGTGAATATATAAATATAAATAAGGATCTGTCTGCCTCGTGGAAGTTTAACAATTGTAAAAACGATAACAATAATTATCGAAGCTATTCGCCGACCACCACAGTATATATGATATACTTTTCAACACTGACGAAAAAGGCCGCCATAAAAGATTGGTGTGCAACACTTACTTTTTAGAAGAAGCAAATAGTCCAGTTGTTGGGTTACGTTTATCTTTGGCTTGTAAAGAAAACGTTTAAAAAGTGTAAAATTCTACGTATTTTCTGGGGAAAATTCGTTAAAACCGTAATTTTGTATGCACCGGTGCTAAAGTCGATTAGTGCATTTGTTGATTTTTGTGCAAAATAAGATTAATTTGCATTTAAAAATTTTGCGCGTTCACGGTACGTTCAGCGTGGCGTGTGTATGTATATATGTGTGCGTAATATACCTGCTAGTTGCTTTGTATCGCTGTCCCAGTGCGGAAGGAGAGCAAAAGAGAGAACTCGCTACATCAAAGCAAAGCGTTGCAACTGAACGAAAACATTGCAAAATACAATTAATTGTATTTTGTAAGCAAAATTAATACTAATACCGATATCAAAATGTCCGACGAGACCAGTATACAAAAACCGGAAGCAGAGACTGTTGTAGAGACCAAATCCAACAACGAAGAAGATGAAACAATTCTACCGGCAGCGGATGAGAAGAAGACACCCGTAAGTGTTTAGAAATACGTAGGAAAACACATGGATACATACTTACAAACTTGTGTATATGTGTGTTTAGAGCCAGTCACAATTAACACCGGGGGTCGTGCGATAAGAGCGCGCTTTACAGCTAAAACACTCGCATTGTGACGAACAGAATTATCTAGAAGAGCGGGGGTATTGTATGTATTTAGGTGATTGTATTGAACATATAAGCAGTATTTTTCCAAAATTATCGAAAAAATCAAAACACAAATACAAGCACATTTTTAAGTATGTGAAATTCGTACTATATTGTTTTTGCATTTTACGCTCTTTCGTGTTGATGTTAATTTCGTTGCCCTCGTGTGCGCGCGCTTTTCCCAACATCCCCCGTTTGTGAGTATGTGTATACACATATATCGCATCGAGGATTGTGTGTGTGTATTTATTTTTGTATGTCGCGTGGTACACTCGCTACAGGCAGTCGGTAGTCTCTTTTGTGCACGTTTTGCCGCCGCGCGCGTCTGTCTCGTTCTCGTTTGTTTTTATTTTTCTTGTTCTCTTTTCGACTTTTTGTTGTTTGCTGTACTTTGTCATACATGAATATATGTATACATGTACATGTGTATGTGAGTGTGAGTGCATTCATACGTTGCGCTTGAGAATGGGCATTTATTTACCGTTTAATAGGAATGCTGCGGGTTGAATAGGCGGTTTAATGATTTCTTGTATTTAAATCCAGACAAAAACTCTTATTGAGATGTGCATAAATAGTGCAACATTTTGATGTGTATGTAAACAATCATTGTAGAAACGCACGCCAAAGCGTCGCTCTTTCATTGAGCGAGCTCAGCGCGAGAGTGAGGAGTTGGTGCGAACAATGGGCGGCACCTTGGAGCTGGAAGGTGGACGTCGTACTCGATCCAGTACGCGTGGTACTCCTACAAGAAGCGCTGAAACCGTTACACCGCCTCCAAATAAAAAAGCGCGCACATCGCCAGCGATTACGAAGAGCGGCGGACGGGGCCGTGGTGCACGGAAACTGGATATAGGAGGCGATGACGAAGGCGATCAAGAGCTAACAAAACCTAAATCAGTAATAGCAGAGAAGGAAGAGGCGGAAGAAAAGGCTCAGGCAAGCAAAACTATTATAGCAAACGTAAGTTGATTAATTTTTTTTTATCGTTGATTACAATTTAATTGAATATTATATATTCAAGGTCTCTGCGAAGAAAGGAAAGAAGGAAGAAAAGGAACAGAAGCCTAAGGTGGTTGACGCGAAAGACAAGAAGAATACCAAGATCACAGAGAATCCTGAAATAAAGGTTACGGAATCAAAGGAGTCTGCGTCAAAAGCCCCAGAAAGTAAGGATCAGCCTGATTCTACTGCCCAAGAGCCTGCGCCGAAAGAAGAAAAGCAAAACAACATTGTCCACGATAAATCAAGCACTAAAGAACCCGAAGCAAAGGAAAAAACGCCTGAGCCAGTGACAAATCGTGAAGAACCAGCTAAAGTTGAAAGCCCACCAAAAAGTGATGCTTCTGCAACTGCTCCTGTTTCTGATTCACCAATGGAAGTGGATGAAGATGAGAAACAACAATCAAGCACGGATCAGACTACCGCTGATGCAACATCCTCCGACACTTCTACACCTGCTGATATCGCAGAATCAGTAGAGAAAAAGAAGGAAACAGAAGAATCCCAAGAAAGTGAGAGCAGTGGGGAGCAAAAAACCGAAACCACCGAAACTGATGAACCCGCCAAGCAGCGAACCCCGGAACCCATGGATGTAGACTCAAGTTCGAAAGCCAGCACCGAAACTGCCAGGCCCATATCACCCGTCAAAGAAGATGCGCCATTAGCAGCCACTGTCGAAACCAGTGACAAACCTAAGCCGGCTGAGGTAGAAACAAGCAATAACGAAGCCATTGAATTGGCCACCGAAGTCAAAGAGGATACACCAGTCGTTCCAGAGAAGGAGACAAAAGAAAGCGAAGTCGAAAGCACATCAGCAGAGAACAATACAACCAAAGCTGATGAAATACCTGCCAGCAATGATGTGAGCAAGCTGGCTGCGCCAGTTGCCCCAACCGAAGTCGCATTAACGGAGGCGCCAGCAGCACCCGCTAAGGAGACTAACTGCGAAAACAAATCCGAGCACAATGACAATGGTATGCAAATACTTCTGACTAAAATATATCGAACATCTTAATGAGATTTTAATTTGTTGCAGGTGAACCGAAGATCGTTAACAGTGCCACCGAAGATGGTGAGAACCATGTAACGCCGCAGGCCTGCAATTAAAGTAGCAGCATATTAATAAAAATAATGACGATGATGATGATGAAAACCAATAACTAAAGTTAAAAGCCGAATGTGTACAAGTGTTGCCTCGGCTTATATCGAAAAGCCAACAAATATGCAAATAACTACGAGTCTATCGTAAACTACTTCGCGCACCTAACGCCTAACATAGGCTAAATTTTGTTTCCATTGTCAAGTTTTTTCTTTTTATTCACAAACTACAAAATCGTAAGCGATTGCAATTCACTTAACATCTTCCAGTCTTTGGCTGTAATCGATGCCGGATTTTCAATGCTGTTTTGTGTGAGCAATATAGAGTAACAATTACACATTCACAGCAACCATAAACTAACACGTACCCCTAACCCGCCAATCTAAACACTCAAGCCAACACACCCGCATCCAAACTAAACACACACACACACATTGTTAAAAGCAATCAACTATAAATAATATGTATGTGTAAAGTTAATTAAATTGGAAACAAAACAAATACATTAAGAAATGTATGTAAAATAGATGTTTTTAAATTTTAAGACATAATCTATAATGCAAGTCTAATTTTAAAAACCCCATTTGGATAACACTCAAACCCGAAGAAAAGATTTTTAACAAATGATGCGTCATTCACCAAATTAAGTACTTTTAGAAATATATATATATATACATGTATCGTATAACTTTACCAATGCCATTCACACTTACCTGGCTATTAACAACAAATCTTTGCTTTTTTTAATTTCAATATAATTTTTCTTATTTTGAAATTGCTCACATTTAGTTGAAGCATTTAGTTCTTAAATTTTTTGTCATTATGTAATTTTACTTGATAAAACCCTATATCAAATAACGCATCAATTGTATTCTGCATAGACATTGCGACACAAAAATCTTTTCCAGACGATCTTAACTAAATTACGAATAGAACTGTACAATTTTTCAATGAAAAATTCTAAAAACAAAAACAAAAAACTCACACACAAGAGCGTAAAATACTTTGGAACTCTTTTTTATAACTGAAATAATCAGTCGAAACAGTTTTTGTATGTAGCTGGATACGTTCTGTATAAGAAATTCTTCATTTAAATATTCTTTTGTAAATAAATCGTTTAAAAATACAAAAGAGACATAACATTGTGTATTAACTAAATTAGCTGTAATTTAACAATTATGCGGCTCCGTTTTCCTGTTGATCTGTTTTGTTGAGGGGTTCCTTCAATGGCAGCTCCTCCAGCTCCACTTCTGGATCGGACACATTCAACATGTTCCGCACAAATGGCGAATAGAGCTTGGGATTTTGCTTATCATTCTTATCAGGCCGCCAGATATAGCTCAAAGGCACCGCACAGACGAATATCAGGATGGCGCCCAGCATCTTGTACCAATAGAAAGATATATCATAGACTGAGAACTCTCGATTGCTGTCGAAAGCTGTTGTCACATTTGTGGGCAGTGGAACAGCTGTTGTTGCTGGTGTAGTTGTTGTGTGATTTCTGTAAAGCAATAATATATATTACGCATAGTTACAGTTAAATATACTTAGTTAGTTAGAGGTAACCCTTACATGGCATTAAATATGGCATCAAGGCCTCGCGCCTCGCACTTATCCAAGCTGTTTGGGAGCACTTCGTACTTAACAAGTCCTGCCTTGATGTTCATCTGGCCATTGATGATGATCCAGAGCATGGCCAGCACACTGAATATGATGCTGGTCATTGCCACCTTTCCATTGACACGCGGCACAAACATGCCCAGCAGGAAGACACCCACAACGGCGCCCATGTTGATGCCCGTGACGGTCCACATTACCTGTAATATGGAGTTGAAACGCTGCACAATGATGCCTCCCACAATGCAGTAGACGCCCATGCCAACGACCACCAGCTTCATGCATCCATTCGCCCGCGCCTCGGTATGCCGAATGTGAGGCTTGATGTAGTCGAAGTAGACGACGCCAGCGAGCGAATTGAGATGGGCCGAAAGAGAGCTCAGCGAAGCACTGAAGACGCACGAGATGAACAGACCGGGCATGCCCGGCAGGTTACCCATTATGTCCTGTATGAAGAAGGGCATCATTTTGTCAGGCTTACTGACCAACTATGGATGAAAGAAGACGGCTTGAGCAAGATGAGAAATCGTTTAACAGTTCGGTCTACCTACGCCAGCTAGCATGGGATCACAGCCGAAGTAGCGAGCAAACATAATGATGCCGGCAAAACAGTTGAGGAACATAATAATTAAAAAACCAATGCCCGCAACAATTAGGGATCTGTTGGGTATTTAATAAATGTATATATATAAATATAATATAGACATGGCTTACTTTTTGGCTTCCGCAAATGAGGGCAGCGAGACAATGCGCTGCACGCAGCTCTGATCAAGGCCAATTTTGCCCGTCCACAGAAGTAAGCCACTGCTGAAACAATTCCAGACAGTAGACCGAATCCTGGGATCCAGTCTAAAGCTACATGCAATACAAGTTATAACGGGTTATTAGTGCTTCACGATCCTTTGAGGCACTTACTCAAAGTCCATGCGCCCACCCTCTGAAGCATAATCCAGCACAGTGGCCAAGCCACCAGTTTGCATTGTGCCTAACACCGCCACCATGATCACTGAGAAGAGCATAACACCACCTTGCACCACATCTGTCCAGACGACCGCCTTGATGCCACCCAACATGGTGTAGAAAACGCAGATCGATGAGACCACAACGTTGATCAGGTGAATATTTACGCCGGTCACTGGATGTGTAAATGAAAATAAATAATCATAAAAGAAATGTCTATAATAAATTAACTTTGTGAGCTTTACGTGGGTGTAACTACTTATTTAATAATGATATATGCTAAATATTTTGTGTGCTTTGCGTATTAAAATGAGAAACTTTTTAGACGACCCTCGTAGCTTACTTTGAGCAACTAAGCTTTGAGCAATATACAAACGGTTTCAATATATTATTCGGCTCATTCAGTTCGAATTACTCGAAATGTATAAATGACGTATTCGAAAAATGTTAGCTTAAAGCATTTCTTAAATTACATTTTTATATCTATATATATATATATATATATATATATATATATATTTATAAATAACTTTTTAGAGGAAAATAAGAACTTTATGACGCGTATATTCTGTCCTTTAGTTGGACTTGTACTAGATCCCTTAAAGTCATATAATTAAAAGTAAACTTGATTAGATAACTTTTTAGCATAGAATAATATTAGAATGTAACTATTTTACACCCATTTTTCGACCATTTGGGTGGAATGGCTAATGGCTGTGATGCCAGCACATACCTTGAGAGAAGGCTAATGCGGGTATAAACATATAGACAGGCAGCATTAGAAGTTGGTTCATGATGAATGTGAGAGTCACAAAATGTCGCGTGCGCTTATTGAAACGCAGCTCCAAGTACTGCGAGAATAGAGCACATATATTAAAGATAAGTATAAGTATTTTGATAGCTAATCCACTTCAACTTACCTCATAGCAATTGACGACATTGTTGTCATAGAAGACTGGCACAATGATATATATGAGAATTGGTATAGTTGGTAGCATGGCTAAGACACTGAAAACGAAGTGAAAGCCAAATGCGTAGCTCTCGGCTGGAATTGACAAGATCGACACACCAGATAGTTGACTGAAATTAAATTAATTACTTTATAAATTTAAAATAAAATTTGTGTTTTCACTTAAATCAAAATAGTTTGTACAAAGTTGTTAGAAAACGAGTTGAAACCTGTTCAAGTGGCATGCAAAATGTTGTTGATCGCAGATGGAATTTTCCATGCGTGGACTTACAAATCCTAACTAGTGTAACGAGTTTAATTCTAGTTCAGCCAATAGACACATTTTTGAATATATAAAAGGACAGCTACGAACCTGGAGACCAGGGATATGGCAATGGGCAGCGCGTGCATCTTCTTGCTCCCACGCAGATACTCGTCGGTGGTGTTCCTTGACTTTGAGTAAAAGCCAAAGTAGAGGCCAATGGCTGCTGAGACGCTCAGCATGAGTAGGAAAATGGAATAGTCCGTCACACCGAATCTCAAGTCCTCCATGTGTGCTGCAGTTGCACTGTTGGCCATGGCTGCTGAACTGTCCGGCATCCTCGAGTTTCTGTTACGGCTTAGACTTGGTTGCCGAACAAGTCGGTGCAGTTGCGTATGCTGTCAGCTCAGTTGTGAGCACTGACTTCACACATTTTCGCTTAAGTAGAGGCTATTGGAGTATATCAATAACTAAAATATCTGGCAGACATTGCACTAACAGCAATGAGATTTCATAAAGTAGAGTTTATAGACATGTTGAACCCGAATTTTAACTGAGAGTGAGAAGCGAATCTTAGGAGTTGAGCATGTGAGCCTCACTTAAATATTAAAACTACATTTCATATATGAATTATGAATTAAATCAATTTGTATGTTTATTTAAAGAACTAATCAGTGTGATCGATCTATTAAAGCGAACTTCTTAAATTGTTGCTGTAGTACTTCCCCTAGTAAACTGGGAACCCAATTGGCATCACTCACGGAACCTTTTTAAAGCTATATATTCTGACTATATACAAAGCTATATATTCTTAATCAGAGTTCGTTTGTTCATTCGTTTGAAAGTCCCAATCACATAAATTACAAAAGCTTTTGACAAGAACATTATAATTAAATGTTCTCGTATAGCAAGAAGAAGTCCCCTTACTTGAATATAACTGAATGTTATATGTACCTGGAAACTTTCTATATAAGAAATTCTTCATTTAAATATTCTTTTGTAAATAAATTTTTTGAAAGAGACAACATTGTGAATTAATTAAATGAGTTGTAATTTAACAATTATGCGGCTCCGTTTTCCTGTTGATCTGTTTTGTTGAGGGGTTCCTTCAATGGCAGCTCCTCCAGCTCCACTTCTGGATCGGACACATTCAACATGTTCCGCACAAATGGCGAATAGAGCTTGGGATTTTGCTTATCATTCTTATCAGGCCGCCAGATATAGCTCAAAGGCACCGCACAGACGAATATCAGGATGGCGCCCAGCATCTTGTACCAATAGAAAGATATATCATAGACTGAGAACTCTCGATTGCTGTCGAAAGCTGTTGTCACATTTGTGGGCAGTGGAACAGCTGTTGTTGCTGGTGTAGTTGTTGTGTGATTTCTGTAAAGCAATAATATATATTACGCATAGTTACAGTTAAATATACTTAGTTAGTTAGAGGTAACCCTTACATGGCATTAAATATGGCATCAAGGCCTCGCGCCTCGCACTGATCCAAGCTGTTTGGGAGCACTTCGTACTTAACAAGTCCTGCCTTGATGTTCATCTGCCCATTGATGATGATCCAGAGCATGGCCAGCACACTGAATATGATGCTGCTCATTGCCACCTTTCCATTGACACGCGGCACAAACATGCCCAGCAGGAAGACACCCACAACGGCGCCCATGTTGATGCCCGTGACGGTCCACATTACCTGTAATATGGAGTTGAAACGCTGCACAATGATGCCTCCCACAATGCAGTAGACGCCCATGCCAACGACCACCAGCTTCATGCATCCATTCGCCCGCGCCTCGGTATGCCGAATGTGAGGCTTGATGTAGTCGAAGTAGACGACGCCAGCGAGCGAATTGAGATGGGCCGAAAGAGAGCTCAGCGAAGCACTGAAGACGCACGAGATGAACAGACCGGGCATGCCCGGCAGGTTACCCATTATGTCCTGTATGAAGAAGGGCATCATTTTGTCAGGCTTACTGACCAGCTATGGATGAAAGAAGACGACTTGAGCAAGATGAGAAATCGATTAAAAGTTCGGTCTACCTACGCCAGCTAGCATGGGATCACAGCCGAAGTAGCGAGCAAACATAATGATGCCGGCAAAACAGTTGAGGAACATAATAATTAAAAAACCAATGCCCGCAACAATTAGGGATCTGTTGAATATATAATAAATATAAATATATATATATATATATATATATATATAATATAGACCTGGCTTACTTTTTGGCTTCCGAAAACGAAGGCAACGAGACAATGCGCTGCACGCAGCTCTGATCAAGGCCAATTTTGCCCGTCCACAGAAGTAAGCCACTGCTCAAGGCATTCCAAACAGTAACCCGAATTCTAGGATCCAATCTGAAGCTACAAGGAATACGGTTATTAATTGCACATTAGTCACTCAGGATTTGTCGAGGCACTTACTCAAAGTTCATGCGCCCACCCTCTGAAGCATAATTCAGTACTGTGGTCAAGCCACCTGTTTGCATCGTGCCCAACACCGCCACCATGATCACTGAGATGAGCATAACACCACCCTGGACCACATCTGTCCAGACGACCGCCTTGATGCCACCCAACATGGTGTAGAAAACGCAGATCGATGAGACCACAACGTTGATCAGGTGAATATTTACGCCGGTCACTGGATGAGTAAATGAAAGTAAACACTCATCGATCACATATCTGTAAGAAATAACTTTTAATGAGCTTAAAAGATGTACATACCTTGAGAGAAGGCCAACGAGGGTATAAACATATAGACGGGCAGCATGAGAAATTGGTTTAAGATGAATGTGAGAGTCACAAATTGTCGCGTGCGCTTATTGAAACGCATCTCCAAGTACTGCGAGCATAGAGAATATGTATTAAGGATATAAAAGTCTTTTGATAGCTAAGCCACTTCAACTTACCTCATAGCAATTGACGACATTGTTGTCATAGAAGACTGGCACAATGATATATATGAGAATTGGTATAGTTGGTAGCATGGCTAAGACACTGAATATGAAGTTGAAGCCATATGTGTAGTTCTCAGCTGGAACTGACATGATCGCAACACCAGATAGTTGACTGAAAAGATAATATTATATGATTTGAAAATAATTTTAAAAGAATAAGCTTGTTTTATGTTTAAGAGTAATTGAATGTTATCAAAAGAATCACTATAAAGTTTTTGGAAAACTAGTTTGAACCTGTTTGAACTGGAAATCTTTATTCACAAATTTTCCACAATTTCGGGTGGAATTTTCCGTGCATGGAAGTACGCATAAGGATTCGTATAGTAAAACTTTTAGCTTCCTATCTTTTCGGTCAGTCAATAATTCATTGAGATAAACTTTATGTAGAAAAGGAGGCTCGAGCGGATGTTTATTATTTTAGCAAGTGTAAAAAGATACTTTTAAAATCGCTGATGTAATCAAAGTAGTGAGATAAGTTAAGATAAGTGCCAGAGCTAATGGCAATGACTGTGGCAATAAAACTGACTAAAACCGATTAGCAGCAACGCGCACTGGAACTACGAACCTGGAGACCAGGGAAATGGCAATGGGCAGCGCTTGCATCTTCTTGCCCCCACGCAGGTACTCATCGGTGGTGTTTTTCGACTTGGAATAGAATCCGAAGTAAACGCCAATGCCCGCTGAGACACTCAGCATGAGTATGAAAATGGAATAGTCCGTCACACCGAATCGCAAGTCCTCCATATGTGCTGCAGCTGCAGCTGTAGCTACAGAGCTACCTACGGTTGTTGTACTGTCCGACATCCTGCTTCTATCCCTTTAGTGTCCTTCAGACTTGCTTTGCCAAAGCAGTTTAGGCTGCTAGCTGCTTTTGTTGCCAGCACAGTTATGAGCATCAAAATCAAAAGTTTTCTCTTAACTTGAGATGATGGTAGCTTATCAGTTGCTGAAATAGTTACCAGACACTGGCAGTAAAAACTAATGAGTATCCATAAAGTGGATCCAACCGTTTATACGTTTCTAAACGTTTAAAGACAGAGTCTTCAAATGCTGAATCGGAAGATACGAGTGAATACTCCTAAAGGTTTATTTTGATCTCGTCCAACTGGCTGCTTAACTTGTGATAAGACTCTATATACGACGTTGTTTGCTCTGCAGACCAGAAGCTCTGAAGGTAAAATAATCTATGAAGTAGCACTTTGTGAGCTTTTCATGTAATATAAAAGTGTCTGACGTACACAAATCTCGTATTTGCTCAGGGTCCAAAAGTTATTAAATTTTTTTTAAAACCAATATATTTCCATGGAATTTTGAACTCTATCTCTGCAGGGAGTATTTTGACTTAATCTTAAGATCTCTAGCAATTCCTAAAGAAAAGAGAGAACATATTTAAAAATTAAAATTAAATTTATTAATCTTAAATTTAAAATAATTTAATAATAATAATAATTAAATTCATTACCTTATAAAAAAATTAATTTTTTTTAAAAATGTAATAAATTTTAAGGTAAAGTTAATTAATTTTTACATTAAAATTAATTAATAAAAAAATTAAAGATTTAAGCATTAGAGTGAGGTAATTTGAATGTAAAATTAAATAATTAACGATTCAAATTAATTAATTTAAGTATACAAAGAAAAAAACAAGGATTTCTAGCAATGCCTAGCCGGGAGCATGTTGACTTTGAAGACATATATCCTATGTGAGCTTATACGTTTGAAGCATAATATTTTTAGAATTCTTTAGAATCCTAAAACCCTGAGTAACTAGATCTACAAAGTAGCTAAGTTAACAATGGCTGATCCCCACTGATTTAACACGTAAACAAATTGTTTTTTTTTATTAATTATTTAAATTAAGATTTTTAATTTAATCTTTTAATTCGGAATCAAATTTAACAGAATTCTTTAAATGTATCTGCTCATAAATCTTGCGCTAGCGGCGATACCTTCAGTGGCAACTCCTCCAATTCTAGCACAAGATTCGGGGGCAGGAATTTCCGTACGAAGGGCGTAAAGAGTTTCGGATCTAGCGATTCCTGTTTATCCCGCTTGCAGATGTAGCTCATGGGCAGTGCCCAGAGGAACGTCAAGATCGCACCCAGAAACTTGTACCAAAAAAATGATATTTCAAATATCGAAAAGTCACGATTACTGCCAAAGGTGCCTGTTACCAAAGGCGCCTCAGTTGGAGTCTCAAGAACAGATATTGGCGTGGTATGTTCATTGTTGTTGTAGCTATAAAGAGATGCAAGGAAAATATAAACTAATATGTAATATGATCAGGCGAATAGCTTACGTTGCGTTAAAAATCGTGTATAAATTCTTGGCCTCACATTGGTCCAGAGTATTGGGCAAGATATCATATTTGATGACGCCGGCCTTCAACTGCATCTGTGTCTTGATAACAATAGCTACCATCACAACTATGCTAAATATAATGCCCGATGAGGCTGCCTTGCTGTTCACGCGCGGACAAAGTATGCCCAGGAGGAAGACGGCTGTCACAGCTCCCGTGCTAATGCCCGTGATGCTCATCACGGTCTGTATTATGGAATTGAAGTGCTGCACCACGAAGCCACCGAAGATGCAGTAAATACCCATGAGGATGATAGTGAGCTTCATCGTGGCATTGGCTCGTGCCTCCGTATGCCGTATGAATGGCTTAATGTAGTCAAAGTAAACGACGCCAGCGAGCGAGTTAAGATTCGCAGAGAGCGTGCTGAGCGCAGCGCTAAAGACGCACGAGATGAACAGCCCGGGCATGCCCGGCAGGTTACCCATTATGTCCTGTATAAAGAAGGGCATCATTTTGTCTGGCTTGCTGACCAGCTGTGGATGACAACATTAACCTAAGTAATATTGGAAATACTTTCAAAGTTCGTACTACTTACGCCAGCTAGCATGGGATCGCAGCCGAAGTAGCGGGCAAACATAATGATGCCAGTGAAGCTCATAACGCCCATGATTAGCAAAATTCCACATGACGCAATGATAAGAGATCTACGATATAAAGCTATAGAAATTTTTGTGTTTAATCTTTGTCTTCCCGTTAAACTCACACTTTGGCATGCGCATACGAGGGCAAGGCGACAATGCGCTGCACACAGCTCTGATTGAAACCAATGTGACCCAGCCACATGACAAAGCCCGCCATGAGGCCATTCCACACAGTGAGGCGTATGCGTGGATCCAATCTATAACTGAAAATCAATGAGAGTAATACAAAATATATAATAAGTAAATGTTAATCAAATGAAGAACTAAGAAATTTAAAAAATTAACAATTTTAATCTGATTAAGAGCTGAAATTGAAACTAAAAAATCAATGAATTTATTAATTAAATTAAAATAAAATTACTAAAAACTAATGTTAGTAAATTGAAAAATTAAAATTTATTAATATAAAAATTAATATAATTTTATTTATATAAAATTAATTACTTTATAAAATAAAATTAAAAATTTAAAATAAAAAAATTAAACAATTTAAAAAGAAGAAAGAAAAAGAACAAAGAAAAAGAATTTAAAAATTAAAATTTATTAAAGAAAAAATTAAAGGTGATTTATTTTAGAATTGAAAATATTTAATCAAAAAAATTAAAGGTTATTTAAATTAAATGAAATAATTAAAAACAAACACAAACTCAACTGAAATTTAAGTTTTTGAACCAAAAAAATTAAAATCGTTGGGAAAAACTTACTCGAAATCAAGTCGTCCGCCTTTGCTAGCACTCTCAAGCACCGAACTCAGTCCGCCCGCTTGTACAGTGCCCAGCACACCTACCAGAATTACCGAGGTCAACATGATGCCACCCTGAACCACATCTGTCCAGACAACCGCCTTGATGCCACCCAACATTGTATAGGAAACGCATATCGATGAAACCACAATGTTGATCAGATGAATGTTAAGGCCGCTGACTATATGAAAAGAATGCATAAATAGTTATGAATATAGCTGGGGTAGTTGGAAATGGGCATACCTTGCGCAAATGCCAGAGAGGGTATAAACATATACACGGGCAGCATGAGGCACAAGTTCAGCACAAATGTGAGTGTTACTACCTTTCGCATAAACTTGCCAAAGCGTATCTCCAGGTACTAAGATTAGAGAAATATATATGATATAAAGGATAAGTACAGAGATAACTCTTACCTCATAGCAATTGGAGACATTGTTCTCGTAGAAGACAGATGCTACAACGTAAATCAGCAGGGGCACGACTAGCACCATGGAGAGCACTATAAAAATGTAGTTGAAGCCAAACGTATATGTCTCGGCCGGCACAGACATGATGGCAATGCCTGATAGCTGACTGTAAAATGGATATATTAACAAGGACGTTTACCTCTATCAAGTCGATAAGAAAACCCATACCTGGCGACCAAGGAAATGGCTATGGGCACTGTTTGCATCTTTTTGCTACCACGCAGATACTCCTCGGTTGTGTTTTTGGCCTTGGAGAAGAAGCCGAAGTAGATGCCAATAGCCAGCGAGGCACATAGCATAAGGACGAACACAACATAATCCGTAATCCCAAATGTTAGTGCTGAGGACATGTTTGATATTGGCGAACTACCTTCCATTATACATGCATCACACTTCTGTGCCGCACCCGACATGAATCGTTTTTAAATGATGTTCCTTAACTATCTTATCTGTTCTCAAATTTATCTATATTTATCTATAAGATATGATGGCCATTGTCTTAAATGTCATAAAAGAGATTAAGATTTGAAGAGTTGTTATATATAGCAACTGATCTTGCTTGAGGAATTCGTATTCACAGGGCCAGGCTTGGAGATGCCCTGTAAACAATATCTGAGTTTGCTCCTAGACTACAGATAGAGATAGAGATAGAGAGAGATAGAGATAGAGATAGAGATAGAGATAGAGATAGAGATAGAGATAGAGATAGAGATAGAGATAGAGATAGAGATAGAGATAGAGATAGAGATAGAGATAGAGATAGAGATAGAGATAGAGATAGAGATAGATAGAGATAGAGATAGAGATAGAGATAGAGATAGAGATAGAGATAGAGATAGAGATAGAGATAGAGATAGAGATAGAGATAGAGATAGAGATAGAGATAGAGATAGAGATAGAGATAGAGATAGAGATAGAGATAGAGATAGAGATAGAGATAGAGATAGAGATAGAGATAGAGATAGAGATAGAGATAGAGATAGAGATAGAGATAGAGATAGAGATAGAGATAGAGATAGAGATAGAGATAGAGATAGAGATAGAGATAGAGATAGAGATAGAGATAGAGATAGAGATAGAGATAGAGATAGAGATAGAGATAGAGATAGAGATAGAGATAGAGATAGAGATAGAGATAGAGATAGAGATAGAGATAGAGATAGAGATAGAGATAGAGATAGAGATAGAGATAGAGATAGAGATAGAGATAGAGATAGAGATAGAGATAGAGATAGAGATAGAGATAGAGATAGAGATAGAGATAGAGATAGAGATAGAGATAGAGATAGAGATAGAGATAGAGATAGAGATAGAGATAGAGATAGAGATAGAGATAGAGACAGAGATAGAGATAGAGATAGAGATATAGTTAAATATATAGATATATATATACCCCATTTGCCCACTTTCGCTGGGTACCCAATAGGCCAAGGTGCTTCAAACGTTTGAACACTCAGCGATAAGGAGTTACAACTCAATAAATAATAATGCTGACGGATTGCTGTATTTGATCTTTGAGAGATATGTTTGAGTCTGCGATGACTTTTATGTTCATTATTTATTATTTAAACTATCTACCGCCTATCTAGGCTAGATGCTGTCGAAACCTTAGTATAAACGGCTAGTTAAGATAAGATTTATGTCAGATTCGCTTTAGCATTATATCTAAGATGCTTATGATGCTTCAGTTAAATAGTATATAATAGAAATTTAGCAAATTTGATTTTGTTAAAAGTAATTTTTATGATTTTTCCTTTTGCAGCACCGGCAATTCATGCATTGGCGCCTGCTCGTACTCTACGAAATGTCTTATAACCGGCGATAAAAGATTCGGATTGAGCTTAACCTGATCTGGGGCTGGGCTCAAGACATAGCTGAGCACTGTGCCCACCAGCAAGGTGATGACGAAGCCGATTGCAGCATACCAATTGAATGAGATGTCAAAAATGCTGAAACCAGATGCTGCCAGATCTTCCACCTTGACTGTGGCATTCAAGTGTGAAAGAGTTGAGAGAGTTGCCGTGGCATTCACGACACCTGGACAGTTGTCAGTGCCGATGGGCATGGCAGCATAATGATTGCGCCCCCAACTGCCCACTACAAGGAAGGCCATGAACACAATGCTGACAAAAACACCAGCTAAAGCCGCCTGTAAGCATAGTAACGAGTAAAGTCTTTGAAGCTTGAGGTATATCAACTAGAGATACAGACCCGACCATGCACCCTGGGCACCAGCATGCCCAGGAAAAAGACGCCGCACACGGAGCCGAAACTGATGCCGCCAATGCAATACACCATCTGGAGGATGGAGCTGAATTTCTCGACAATAATGCCGCCAAAGATGCAGTAGATGCCGGATAGGAACACGAATAGCTTCATAATAACATTGGCCTTGTGCTCCGTATGATGTATGTGCGGCTTGATGTAGTCGAAGTAGACAATGCCGCCGAGGGAGTTGATGCTGGCTGAGAGTGTGCTCAGGGCGGCGCTGAAGACGCAGGATATAAAGATGCCGGGCATGCCGGTCAGGTGACCCATAATATCCTGGACAAAGTACGGCACCATCTTGTCCAGCTTGCTGACCAGGCCCACGGCAAGCGGATCGCAGTCATGGTAACGTGCGTACATCACGATGCCCGTGAAACAATTGAAGCTCATGATAAGTAGGAAGCCCAAGCCAAATAGCACTATTGCTCTGTAAGAAGACAGCGATTAGGCATGGACGGATCGTGTCAACTGGACTGGTTCACTGACCTTCTTGCATGCGCCAACGAAGGCAGCGCCACAATGCGTTGCACGCAGCTCTGATGCAGGCCCACATAGCTGGTCCAGGCCACGAAGCCGGAGGCAGACGCATTCCATATTGAAATTCGCGTCGTCAGGTCAAATGAGTAGCTAAAAGTAGCATTAAAAACATGGAACATTAAGCCCACTAGCGCTTGGAGCTAGCACCTACTTGATATCCAAGCGACCGCCCTCGCCGGCAATGCGCCAAACCTCGCCCAGGCCGCCCAGACGATGCGCGCCCATGACGCCCACCAGCACCACAGACAAGACCATGATGCCCGCCTGCACCACATCGGTCCAGACGACTGCCTTAATGCCGCCCTAATAAGAAGTTTGCGAATAGTCAATAACATTTCAATGCGAACTGATCCTCTATTGCTTACGATCATTGTGTAAAAGATGCAGATGCTGCAGACAATTGTATTGATAATGTGCACATTAAAGCCAGTTACTGCAGCAGAGAGAGAGAGAGAGAGAGTCTATAATCTATTATATGATATGCTCTTATATAATCACACCTTGTGCAAAAGCCAGCGAGGGCAGAAATATGAATATGGGCAGCATCAGGAATATGTTGATCACAAACAAAAAGGTTTGCAGCTTCCTTGTGGCACTATTGAAGCGCAGCTCCAGGTACTAAAACAGAGAAAAATATATTTAAAAAATTAAAATTTAATTAAATAAATAAATAAAAAATAAAAGAATAAAAAATAAATAAACTGCAAGTAGAGTAAATGAAATATGCTAGTCTAAAATTGGAGTTTCTTGGAGATTCTTTAACATTAAAACATTTGTCTAGACATACTTAATCAAATGTATTCGAGCTGATCATATATATGAGATTTATGTTATATAGTCTTTGGTATATGGTCTATGGTTATGACAGATGGTTTATGGTATATGGTTTATTGTATGAGCTTTATGGTTTATGGCCGCTGTTATATGGTCCCTGATATGCTCTTTAGTATAAATTCTCATATATTCGTATTCTAGATTCAGATTTGAAAAAAAAACTTTAGCATTTTTTATGTTCTCTGAGTTTTGTTAACCAAACCCTCTTGGCCTGTCTAATTCATATCCAAAGTACCTCATAGCAGTTGGTAATGTTGTTGTTGTAGAAGACAGGTATTATCACATAGTTGAGTACAGGTACAATGGGCACCATGATAAGCACAATGAAGAACCAATTCATGCCAAAGGCATACATCTCAGCGGGTATGGTCATAATGGATATGGCCGACAATTGGCTGGCCACCAGTGAGATGGCAATGGGCAGCGTCTTCATCCGTTTGCCGCCCATCAGATACTCCTCGGTGGTGTCGTCGCCCTTGGCAAAGAAACCAAAGTAGACACCGATTCCGGCCGATATGCTCAGCATGAATGTGAACACTATATAGTCTGTCGTCTGGAAGGTGAACTGCGAATCGGCCAGGGTCTGAGCCGTGCCATTCAGTAGAGCCGACATTTTGACTACGTATATTCGAACTATTCACTCCACCGACACTAGACGCGTTTCGAAATCACAATTGTGTTCCGCATGGCGCCTTCAGTGCTTTATATAAGTTTCCATCAGTCTCCATCAAAGTCTTATCGCTCAGATCAGAGCTATCGACTTTATCAGAGAATCTGCTATCTAAATGCCTTTTACGAGCTCAATTTGATCATCTGTAGATAGTATATATATGCTATATTAGAAGGTCTAGGACCTTATCAGATGAGCTTTGCTAACAATGATGCTGCAAGTTTACTATCAGAGCAAAGTCAACCCATTCATTGTTTTTAGACTACGTTACACCTCACAGCCTAAATTTCACAAGTCATAGACAAGATCGCAAAGTTTCTTCATCGGGCTGCGATAATTAGGCGGGCGCTGATTTGGGTCTATGCAATGCCTTTTGTGGTTGGATTTTGCTGTGACATAACACCACGAATTCCATTTGGTTGTCATCCTCTGCAATGGGTCGCAACAATGCAACACACTTCTGTGGCACTTACCACTTACCACTTGCCCCCACTTTTGTGCATCTGCACTGTCGTTGTTGCCATACCTGAACATATATCAATTTAATATATATATATAACGACTGCTGTATACCCTACACTACACTCTACTCTTTATCTACCCTCCCCTAAGCTATTTTATACCTTGACTTTAGAAATTCTTTGAAGAAAGATTGATTTAGTCGGCGTTGCACAACTAGAAAATACCCGGCACAGAGCTGTTGACTTTAATATTTAAATTTTCATTTATATTTGTCTATATCTATGTCTAGTTGTGCTTGCATAGATATATATCTGACTACTAATACGAGCATATGAGATATTTGTAACAGTTATATATACATATATATATATTTCTATATAAATATATTCTCTATTCCACACTTCGTAAAGGTAGGGTATATACAAGTGACTATTGCCACATGTAACCCGCAGTAATATTTGAGCTTAATGGTCAGCCCCTTGCGCTGCATTGTGACCCAATACCCAATCTCAGCTGCAGCTGATGAAATCAGCGCTTAATGAGCATCGGATGCCGGCCTCAAGACACTTGATGAGAGCTCTACAAGTCATGGCAACTGCAGCTTGTCTCTGTTGCGTCTTCAAAACCACAAAAAGTGAAAGGATTATACGTAATACACAAAACCAAAATAAAATCCACCTGAAACTCATCTGAACTGAGCTCGCGTAATATCAATGAGAATGAATAAACTTTAAGCTTTTAGAATGTTGCATTGAAGCTGACAAAACCGTTCAATCTAGGTCAATTGGCAGATGAGTTTTAATAGTAGAGCATGAAAATGCGAGGCAACTCGTAATGACCATAAATAAAGAGTTAAATAATTTATGCAGCTGAAGTAGCAGCAAATGTCAAGACTTAAAAACTATTTTTTTTAAATATTTTTCAACTTTAAAATAATTTTGCAAATCTCAGTTGAAAACTTGTCATAATTTTATTTATGTTTTGCACAATTTCCCACCCAATTAAAAAAATAAAAAACTCTCATAATTTAACGGTGACAAAATTTACTATTTTTTTTATTATTTTCATATTTTTTTTGTTGTTTCTTTGTTTGTTTCATAAAAATAAAAACACTTACTAGCTAATAATGCGTTATAACACTGTTTTTTTGTTTTGTTTGTTTTGTTTTGTTTTGTTTTTGGGGATTGTGTGTGTGTTGGTTTTTGTTGAGAAAAAAATATGTACAAAAACGAATTTCGCCGCCGAAAATTGGCGTAACTCCAGTGTTGAGGGGCGAAATTGCATTTAGAGTTGCAGACAGAAGAGATTAGATAGGTAATTACAGTCACTGAGTCTGGGATCTAATGGAGTTGGGGCTTGAGAGTAGCTCGAAATTGGATTTTAGTTTTGGAAGATGTAGGCTGATTAAATGAAACGCCTCATCACGTGTCGAACAACGTTTTTAGCTCAGTTGTTGTTTCGTTCGGGGGCGGGGGGCTTGGGGTGTGGCTCGCACGAAGTTCCAAGTTTTGGTTGTTGTTAAACCCATACTTCCTTAAATTCCGCTTTCATTTCAGTTAATGTTGTTGTTATTGTTGTTGTTTTTGTTGTTGTTGATGTCGTTAGGTCCGGCTGAGTCAATTAATGTCGTCCTTTCCGTCGTTCTTCATTTTTGGCAGCAAAAATTTTGTTCTAAGTGCGAAATGAGCTTAGAAAGGCGCACCGTAGCTGCCGCTGGGCCTTGATGGAGCACCATATGAACCAGATGGGGCACTGGGATAGCCACCGCCGCCGCCGCCAGCCTGCGTGCTCTGCTGTGCGAACTGAGCCACCTGGATGGCCTGTCGGACGCCCTCAAGATCGATGCCAACAACACGACCGCCGCCGCCACCGCCGGGCGCGCCATAGCTGGTCGATGGAGGTCCGTAGCTAGTGGATGGTCCACTTGGGTAGCCACCACCACCGCCGCCGCCGCCGCCGCCACCGCCGCCCAATTTGCTCTCCTCGTTCAACAGAATCTGACGCACCTGCTCCAGCAGCTGTGGATCAACATTCTGTCCCTCGGATGTCTGGAAGCCACCGCTGACGGCCTGGAATCCACCGCCGCCACCGCCGCCGCCACCACCGAACGAGGAGCCGCCACCGAAGCCGCCGCCAAAGCCGCCGCCGAAACCACCACCTCCGCCGCCACCTCCACGTGGATAATTGTAGCCCGATGGCGGCTCAGCAGCGGCCAGCGCAGCAAGTGCAAACACTAAGAACTGTAGACGGAGAACAACAAGGTAATCCAATGTTTATCCACATCGTATAATCCGCTCGACTACTTACCACTGAGAAGGAGTTCATAGCAAATGAGTTTTGTGGTGTGTGTGTGTGTGGGGGATAGAAGTAAAATTAAATTATAAGGTAAATTTAGTTGCTTTCGAGTGGGGAGCCAGCGACTGAATGCCAAGCAAATGCCAGGCGGGCCCTCTTTATACTACGCCGCTCAGTGTCTTCAGACCCGACCGGCCCCTCGCACATCATCGGCTTCGTCGAACCAAACATCATTATCGGCAACTTCTTCGTGGTTGGACACTAACGAACATCAAAACAAACACGCACACACGCACACATCGAGTCTGTTTGTGTTTGCTGTTGTTGTTTTTGCGGCTTGTACCTTCATCTTCAGCGAACAACTTGTTTTTGGCGGACGACCTGCGGCCAACTCCAACTTCAACTGCTCGCAGCGCCTTGTGTTTCCCACCGTAAAAATCACAAAAAATAGCTAAAAAAAAATCGAAAGACTAAAAACCAAAATGTCGCTAACAATTTCAGTTGTCTGTACTTGGCTTTAAAATTTCTTCTGCGCTTTCCACGATTCACGTTTTTATTTTCCGCTTGGACCAACGCCATCGACATCGACATCTCGCCAACTTCGACATCTGCCAGTAACTTGTGACCAGGAAGTCATTTTCCCAGTAATTCATTTTTAAAGTAAACACATCAGAAATTTTGAGATGGCTCCATTTTAAATATATGAATATATATGGGTATCGACTCTATTTATTTAAGTCGTCTATGTCATGTAAATATCAACTATGGGGCGCCACAATTTGCACGGTTACGAAAGAGTTTGTCTGCGAAAAAACTATATAATTTTCATGTAGAGCACTAGGGCGCCTCGAAGACAGACAGCCAAACAGCCAGACATATAATCAACTTGGCTCGATTTCCCAAGGAATTACGTTAAAGTTGAAAATTATTTAAGTTCACATGCAACAGGGCATTGAAAGAACTGAGTCGTTCGTTTTTGGTAAAAGTTGTAGTTGCACAGTTAAAAAAAGACCAAAAAAGTTAATGATATGGTATATATGCACACACACACACACATACACGCACACGTACGTATAAGTTTATGTTTTTGTTTTGTCTTTTTGGTGTTCGTAATTCGAACAAATGTTTCACTTCACGTTCGCACTCTTAATTCGCTTTACGTCTGATTTTTGTTGTACTTTACTCGTTACAAAGTGAAAAGAAGTATATTGGCTTTAGGCAGTTATAAACCAAGACTGAAATTTAGGTTTTTAAGAGTTTTGCTGGCATATGGCTATGTCCACTTGGGCATGAACTATGCTCTATATTGTTATATAAATATTAATTATAGTTTAGAGTAAATGGATTTCTATGTATCTCATAGTTCCTATGCATATATATACATGAAAAATTAAGACTAGATTAACACCATTAGCCCCTAAAAAGCTAATCTAGTCTGTATAAATATATATATATATATATATATATATATATTATAGTGGCCGTATTTGAAATAAAAAGATAAAGTAACTGAAACATTGCAGGCATTCATGTCTATCTCTATATATACCATACGTATCTATATATATTATATTTGCAGTAAAGAATAGATTAGTTTCACGTGCCCTAAACATTGATACTTATAATTAACAACACAGCTATATTAGAAACCAAGTTTAGAATTGTCTTATTAGGCAAGTAGCTTAAAATTGTATTGTAAACAGTGAGCGAGTATTATACAGTTCGTAATAGTCGATAATGTTCGTTTATTATGTATTGGGTCTTCCCTGGCGCGCTTCATAATGATATAACGCAGGTGCAAGGAGAGAGGAAGGGAGCAGCGGCTCAAGTAATGAGTCATTGTTGTGAAAATGCGTAAGAGATTTGAAAAGTGCAAGTAACAAAGGCTGCTCAAGATTCTGTCTGGGAAGCAACGGCTGATCAGTAGGCGTATACGTAATATTTTTGATTATTGTCGCTCGCCTGCGTATTATGTCAACATCAAAAGCTTTGTAGAGAAGAGGGCACTCGAAACGCCTTCAGCCGAAAGAAAGAAAGACAACAAAAATGAGATAAAAATAAAAGAAATATGGAGCAAAAGCAGTTGAAAATGTAACCGAATCCCAATCAAAGTGCCAAGTGGCAGTAAATTGTGGTAAATGAGGTTTATTCACTTCGTACATCTCTCAGCTAACTTTCGCAAAGTGCAACGGTTCGGCATGGAGCTTGACTCTTGGTTTAGGGTTTGTGTTTGGGAAACCTTCATGCTTCAAAGTGAAGGACTTTTGGCAGCTGCGTGCGCCGTTGCGTGGCGGTGGCGGCAATGACAACACCGGCACGACTCCGACTCTTTCAATTTGGTGGCAACAAAAAGACAAGAAGATGAAAGTCAACACTTAACACTCTAAACACGAGCGGGGGCAGCGGCAGAAGCTCAGCTCAGCTCGAGCTCAAGCTCGAGTTTGAGTTCGAGTTCGACTTCAATGACAATGCGCTAAATCATTATTTTTATATATTTTTTTCTTGCCTGTCTTAAATTATTTTTATCAGCTTGCGGAGTTGTTGTGGCTTCAGCTGCTGCTGCTGCTTCCACTGTCACTTCGGGTTTTAATTTGGTTTATTGTGCTGTTGTCTTGAGATGCCTTGTGAAGGTCTCTCTCTCTTAACTCATTTCGTAATTGTCTACATTTTTTTACTCGCACTTTCAGTCAATTGCAAGTTGTTGGTGTATTAGGTGTATTATGGAAGGAGGATTCAAAGTGTGGCAATGTTTTTCTGCCTGGGGTGTCATCCTAAATTACTAGGCTGGTCACTCTGCTTGAACCGTCTGGCATTGAAGCAAATCTGCAGACCTTTACCTATAATTTTATGCATATTTTGTTTTTTACATTTTTGCATTTACTTTGATTTTTTAAATGTATACATAACCCTTCTCCGGTCAAATCTTTTTTACTCGCACTTTCAGCTAAGTGCAGGCTGTAATTGGAGTGTTACGGAAGGGGGATTCCATGCGTGGCGATGTTTCCCTGCTTGAGGTGTCATTCTTAATGACTAGGTTGGTCACACTGGGAGATCGCTCCGGCATTGAAGCGAAGTCGCTGCTCTTTAACTTTTTTCGTGTTTTTTAGTTGCCGCTTTTGGTGCGTAGTTTTCATCGTCTGCTTTGTCTTTAAAGGTTTTTTTTGCAACTCAAATGAGACGCTTTATTGCATGCAACAATATGTTTATGTACATGCGATTGTGTGTATCTGGTCAAATCCATCATTAACACGTCCACTAGGTCAGCGTAGTCAAAGTCGACGTCGCCGTTGCATGACTTACATTTGCTACAATTTTTGTTTTTTTTTTGTTTTCTCAGCTTAATACCGGCCTAAGTAGATGTCCAATATCAGTGCAAAGTTGCGCGTGTGTGTGAGAGAGTGCGTTGGTAATTGTTATGACAATTTAATTAGGCCAAATAGCGGCTAGAAAATACACAATAGCAACAAAGTTGGCAAATTGACTGCAGACGCGCTGAAATTATTAAATCGTCGCTCGTCTTTGCCAATTGATGGATAATTCGATAAGGCTTTTGTTGCAAAATTTATATAGCCATTTAGATACGTATGTATATGTATATGTTTATTTATATGTGTTTTTTTAGAGCAATGCACTCATCAGCAAATGGGAACAGTTAATGCCAAACTTCAAATTGATTTTTACGCGGCTCAAAAGAAATACAAAAATGACATTGAAACTATATGTTTGCTCCATCGACACGGTTCAGGTAAGCTCTTTCCTATAATTAAAATTCTTTTAATGAATATTGCCGATATTTTAAATAAGAAGAAAATCAATTAATCATGCGCGGCTAACTTAATCTATTCAATGTGGCCAGACTGCCACACAAATACTCACAATTGAAATGCAAGTGAAAAAGGATTTTTTAAATATAAATATTGCCGAAATAAAGCAATTGTAATTTTCACAGATTAATTAGCATATAATGCGTAATTGTACGAAGTGATGGTATTGTAATCTTATGTCTTCGGTAGATTATCTTTTAATTTAATGACTGTTGAAACTTGCTGCAAGTCGTTACCGAAATTTGTGCAGCTGTATGGCATCTTCTCGAAGTCTATGATAAATTGTAAGGAGAAACCAATTTTTTTTAATGTCTCTAAACTGGCGAATCATGTGTGTAAAAACTGATTATTCAAGCGTATAAATGACAGAGAGGAAGAAAAACCAGTGACAAATGCCGAGAATATCGCAAGATGTAATTGCTGCTGATGAAGATGAATGCGCTAAAAAGTGTATCCACAAGGTAAATGCAGTTTCAGCTACACGTAGACGTATGAATGTAGCTGTATGTATAGCTGGCTAGCAGTTACATAAGGCGCCAACGCAGAAGAGCCCCTCGAGCTCTTGTAGGCAAGGCAGTCAGTGGCAGTAGCAACAACCTCGACGTCTTCTTTCGTTTCCTCAAAAAGACAAAACAAGTTTTATTTGTCCGAACCGTGCTCCTAGCTTTTATGTAAGTCAAGCGTGGAGACCGATACAATCCGCGACAGTCGCAGTCGCAGCCACAGCAACAGCAGCTAAAGACAACGGCAACCGGCATGCAGGCAGATGAGTTGTCCATGCAACCAGAAAATGTAAGCAGGGAGGGAGTGGGGTCAGGCTAAGCAAGTGAAATTGCATATGCAATGCGAATTGAAGCTAAGCTAAAATATAAAAGATGCTGTGAAAAACAAACGTGCATAGAAATGCTGAAATTGTTTGGGAAATTGCTGCGACACGTTTTTGCCTTGTCTGAATTGACTGGAATCGGGCTCCGGCTTGGGTAACAACTGGAGTTGCCAACGACATCTCCACTCGCGACCGCCACAGCTATCGCATTGCTAGTTCTGCGCACAAACTTTAGCCTTTGGGTGTCTAGCATTTGATCGGCTTATGCAAAGATACCAGCTGCGCCTCAACCGCGGGACTTGCATTTACGCAATGCGATTGCTTCCAAGCGAGGCTCATAGCCATATGGTCAGTGCAGATTCTCAAGGCGGCAGACGGAAAGTAAAAGTTACTTCAGGCAGGTGAATCACAAGTCACTAATTGTTTGCCAATACGGACACCCTGCTGGGCACCCAGCGTGAATGTTGTTGCACCAGCTCAGTCGTAGTATGAATTTACATAGCGTTAATTATGACTGAATTTGGCCGGCTCATCGACTAATCATGGTCAAAGAGAGACGAAACGAGCCTCAATTAGCTAAATGCTTTTTTACGCTTTCTCACAAATAGTATAATTATAAGTTAGTTCATTAAGGGGCAAAAATAAATGTATAAGATATAATAAAATTATAAATTTAAAGTTAAAATTTTAAGAAAAATTGTTTTAGTTAATCGTTTTTAAATTAAGGTCTGAAATTTATTGCTAATACTGCATACTTTTAGGCATTGTTACAGCGCAAGCTAACCGCTGCGAAATGTTGCAATTTAAAATGTTTAAACTCTCTCATGAAATCAGTTCGTAAACTTTTAGATGAACAAAGCAACTTGGCTTTTTAATTTATTCGCAAAAAGCCCCAAACAGTACGATAGCTCAAGTCAAATTCAAACATTACTTTGCGGGTGTCGGTCACACTTTTCTTTACAACAGCTGACTGTGAACAAACGTGTGAATGGTCAGACGCCATTACGTTACGTGCTGACGAGTCGTGTACGTGTACAATAAAAACAGGGGAAAAAAGGAAAATATATGTGAGGTACAGAGAGAGAACAGTCAAAATTAACTGTGTCGATGTCGAACGATAAAACATAAAACGCAAATAAACTAGAAATAACAAAATAGCTAACGTTCACGGAAATAGACCAGCGAAACAATCAACATTAACATCTTTCTCGAGACTATCAGCCAATTGGCTGGCTTTGCAACCAACTGCAACAACATGCAGCTGCTAATTTCAAGTGTTTGCATGGCGCTGACCAGCGCCGTAATTGGCAACGCCTACTACCAGAAACAGCAGTTCTATCCGGCAGTTGTGTATATCACCAAATCCAATGCATCCATGGCGGTAAGTAATAAACTCTTCATAAAATACATTTACTATATGTGTACGTACATACACACACATATATGTATATATATATATATATATACGTATATAAATATGTATATATATATATGTACAAACATATATAACTGAAACGTTTTTCGATTATAGGTAATCTACATACAATTTTTTGTGATAGTCTTTATGTTCGGCAAACTCTTGCGCAAGGTAAAATTAATTTTCTTATATCAGTTTAGTTCAACGTTAAAGCAAATTTGCTTTATTGCAGATATTCCTGGGCACGTTGCGTGCTGCCGAATTTGAGCATCTGCTTGAACGTTTTTGGTATGCATTGACAGAGACATGCTTGGCATTTACCGTATTTCGAGACGACTTCAATCCTCGATTTGTGGCGCTTTTTACAGTGCTACTATTTCTCAAATCATTCCATTGGCTTGCCGAGGAACGCGTTGACTTTGTAGGTGCACGTGTAATTTATGTTTACATATTATTTATTGATTTTGTGCTTGCGCTTTGCAGATGGAGCGTTCTCCAGTGCTGGGCTGGTTGTTCCATATACGCGTCGGCAGTCTGTTAACAATGCTGGGCATCCTTGATTATGTGTTGCTAATGCATGCCTACAACTCAACGCTTGTGCGTGGGCCGACTGTGCAGCTAGTGTTCGGCTTTGAGTATGCGATTCTGTTAACGGTAATTGCCAGCACGGCCATAAAATATGTGCTACATGCTGCAGAGATGCGTACCGATACGCCCTGGGAGAATAAGGCCGTATTTCTTTTGTATACGGAACTTGTTATTGGATTGATCAAGGTGGTATTGTACCTGCTCTTCGTTGTTATTATGGCAAAGATTTATGCACTACCCATGTTCGTCTTCCGGCCAATGTTCTTTACCATACGCAATTTCCGCAAGGCTCTCAACGACGTTATCATGTCTCGACGAGCAATTCGTAACATGAACACCTTGTATCCGGATGCTACGCCCGAAGAACTGCGACAGTCAGACAATATTTGCATCATTTGTCGCGAAGACATGGTTAATCACTCAAAGAAGTTGCCGTGCGGTCACATCTTCCATACAACCTGCCTACGCTCCTGGTTCCAACGCCAGCAAACTTGTCCCACTTGTCGCCTCAATATACTGCGTACACCCACAGTGAATTCTACGGCCATTCCCCGGCCAGCTGACGAGCCAGCGAATGCAGCAGCAGCAGCTCCTGCTGCTGGCCCACCAGGAGCTGGCGCGAATGCTGCAATAATTAATCCAACAGCAGCAGCAACACATGAGACCGCTCAGCCACATCCAAATGGCACAGCGATGCGGAATCCCGCAGTACCCAATTTTGCAGATATCTTCGCCGAAACTAGTGAGTTGCTACTCAATTTGCTTAAGCTGTGCAAATATTTTACTAACTTATTTTGACTACCGCATAGATAACTTGGGAAATGGAATACCAAACCTAGCTGGTATACCGCCGCCTCCTATGCTTTCTCCGTTTATGATGCAGCCGCCTTTTGCCTACTTTACACCTCCAATAGTACCGCCACCACCGATGCCGCAGGATCTCAATGCGTTCAATGAGGAAGAGTTGCTCTCTATGGAGGGCAACCTACGAAAACACATTGAGGAACGCATTAAGGTAAATATATAAACTACATTCAGTTTAGAGACTCATTTATATGCATGTAACAATTTCTAGATGCTACGAAATATTTCGCTAATGGTGGATTCGGCTAATATTTTAATGCAACAATATCAGGGGATAATTGCGAGGCTACCGCCGCCTGTACACGTATTGCCACCAAACCCAACTGTGGCAGCTCAAAGCGTACCAGTGGCAACAGATGCAGCAACAGCAGTTGGGCCAGCAACAACATTAACATCAGCACCAGTTTGTGATAAGCCAAGCACATCAAGAGCATCGGCAGTGGAGGTTAAATCGCACGAGGGGCATCAGAACAGCGTTACTACAAGTAACACTGTGGTAAATGCCTCAGAAAAAGTTACTATTGAAGATTTGGGCGCTGAGGAGGATATTGTACCGTCCAATGATGAAGCTTCTCTTGATGTTGATAGCGAGGACAGCTCCGAGCTGAGCGAGCTCCGAAAGCGACGATTGAAATTTCTGGAGGAACGCAACAAATCACCAACTACTAGCGACAAAGCAGATTAGAATTTGAACTGAATGTAATCAGCAGCAGCAGCAGCAGCGCAACAGCCTTTAACGCCCACCTTGCTCTCACACGTGCATCTAGCAACTCGATGTGTATTCTATGAATGGATATTGATTTTAGCTTATATTACATTGATCCTTTATCTTTCCAAAATTCCTTTGACTTTGATGATATATATATATTGTGTAAAAAAAAAAAAGAAAAACAACTAATTTAGAAAAGGGGAAACTGATGATTTATAATTAATAATTATTATATGTGTATAATTAATGTGAAATATAACTAAAACGAAAAGACGACATGAATTGTTGATGCTTTAAACGTACATATGAACTAATTACAAGTAATTTAAACATATTAATTACACATAGATAACAACTGTGGACCGTCTTGTGCTTGTCGTGTGGAAGATTTGCATTTGCACATTTCCGGATCAAATACGCGACTCCATTTCCCGAAACTCGCCGGGGTCAGTAAAGTGAACAGTCATTATATAGAACATAGATGGAAACGGCACCAAACACAGCAAAGCATAATGATAGTTCAGCGAACAGATGCCAAATGCAAGCAGCAGCCAGTGCACAGCTAAAAGACAATATTATTTACACTCCATATTTCAAAGTTGAAGTTATTGCCTTACTAATGATTACAGCATTCTTCACATCCCACACAGATGATAAAAGTAAAGCCTTCTGGGTTTGATCCAGCTTTAAAGAGTAGTGTATAGCATTGGCTACCATAGACATGGCTATGCTTAGATATGGAAACGAATAATCTGAAAGAAAAGTGGGCATTAGTATAATTCAGAGAGCTAAAGCGTTTCATTTACAAATAAGTCCACAGCAGGTGCCATGAATTAAGGTCAGCAATGGCATAAAGTAGAGAGCTGAATAAATGGGCGCTTTGCTTCGAACATCGAACATCGAGCTGACAACAGTTCGTATAAGAAACATATTCAGTAAACACAAAAAGTAATACACCAACACAATTGTTTGCCTACAAAAAAAAAATAGAAAAGGAAACTGCTTAGAAGACAGTTGTATGCAAATTTGAATTCATACTACATACAAAGGATAAACAGCCTCCTGGGTGCAATGATACGTCGTCTCATAGTTGGGATTGGGATTGTAGAACAATGTATACCAGTCTGTTAGCTTGCGCACCTCGCACGCATACAAACTCATTTCCCACATTGGCTCCATGAACAGGGTGGCCATTAGAGCCGAGAGTGCCACCTCGACAAAGGCGCTGGCCGTTAGGATTAGCTGTTTGCGTGAAAATTTTCGATCTTTGGCGTCCATGTCAATAAAGAAACAGTGCATCATGAAGGGTAACATTGACATAAAGCATAGATAAAGCCACGAGTAGGGAGTTAATTCGTCTCGACATGGCGTACAAGCGAAGCTTGCATTCACCTTAAACAAATGAGTAGAACAAAACAACAATGTTGCAAATCAAAACAAACAAACAAAGCTAAATTACCCGTGTTCCTCTGGGACAAACTCCACAACTGCTCCAAGTTCCATTTTCTTGCAGCGACCTACCACAATAAAGGCCGGGACAACGATCTAAATAATTATACATCTTAACACCAAACGCGATGAATTATTGTTGTTTTCTTTTTGTTCGGTTAGGAGTAATGTATTTTTTTCTTCTCACCAAACAATAACATAGCGATATGTGGGCACCTAAGAATTTTAACATTTGCAGAAATGTTATCAACAGCGCGAGTTTTGATTGTGGAAAATCAAGGGTTGATAGATTTTAAAATATCTTCGCAATTCAAGTAATTTATATGCCATTTTATTTAAAATCGCTAAATTTACTGTTCGATATTAAACAATTTTCAATATGTCCACGAGTTACTTATAAAAACAGTGAATAAAGCTTGAAATTGGATTTCGCAGTCAACCGGTACAAAATAACCGTCTTTATGAATTAAAAGATTCCAGAGCTAAAACTGAACAGCTGTCGCTAACGATTTTCTATCGATTTTGTCGTTACAGCTAAGCAAAGTGTTGGAAAGGACTGTGGTAATGCTTATACATGGAAGCTTAAATAAAGCGAAGAATTGCCGATTTAAGAAACCATCCATAATTAGAATTGTTTTCAACTATTCTTATCGTTGAAAATTGCGTAGTATTATGTCTCGCAATATGAAATGTGGCGGTTTGCCGATAATGGCCAGGGATGTAAGGTGTTTTTGTGCCGTCGATGATTAATTTAGGCAGGTCCACATTCGGCCGGCAACTGTAATCTATCGGCCGTCTACACAAAAAAATAATAATTAACTCTAAAATAAGTGTTGGAAATAGGACAGTTAACTTAAACAATTTATATAAATTAAATAGGCAATACGCCAGCAAGTTATAAAAATACAAACATAAACAATTGCAAATATTGGCCATCACCAACAGAGACGCCATTTTGGCTATCGGCCGGCTGATTTGTAAAGCTTAGGAGAGCCAGCCAGCAAAATTTGCAAAAAAAATAAAATACATAAATAGTTTTTAATATTTTGTGCAGCAACTATGAAATTTTAACAGCCAAGCCCTAAACAAATCTGCGCGCAAGTATCGTGGCGAATTAGTGCGACAGTGTAAATTAATCCGTATATTAAGGAAAACGCACAGTGTTTTTTAGGGCGGATGCACAAAATGGTGAGTTGTGCAAAAGCAAAGCGATTTAGTGACTACATTTGTGTGCGTGTGTGTAGATGCGCGAATATACGTGTGTACGTGTGTGTGAGTTAGATGTGAAAAATGTAGGAAAACGTCCTGCAATTTGGATAGGAAATGGCAAATATATCAGATTTAAGCAAAATATAAATATGTCACTGCACAGCGCCACAGTCATTTTGATAACATATATTTCAAAGACTTTGATATTTGTTTGCCGTGCTGCACTTGTGCGGGTCTATTGCCCTCCCCCAGCTCCACCAATCTGTGCTGCATTGCCATTGTGCATGTACGAATGTATATCTATGTATGTACATAATAAGTACATATGTATGCAGTGTTGACAACGAACAATTCGTCGCTCAAATGCTAAGTTTGCATGTCAGTTGTCAAATTATTAAAAATAAAAGTTTTGAACTTCTAAAAAGAAAGAAGAAGCACAACTAGGAGCAGGCGAGAAAGAAAAAATACAAGACAAGTTTCGTCGCCTTTGGTAGTAAAGTGGTTGCTCTTCAAGCAATTGTTCTTATGGTCCTCGGCGCTTGTGCCGGATGGGGGATTGGTGTACCCGTTCCACGGATTCCCAACGTTCAAGGCAGTGATGTAATTTTTGGGAAAAGCAAAAATCTTCTTTGTTTGGCTACAAAAAAAAAAAAAAAACAAATAAATAAATATAAGCAGGAAAAGAACAACGTAAAACGGCAACAACAACATTAAATTAAATTCACACTGTCGCTGTGTATGTAAGTGTGTGCGAGAGAGTGTTTGTTGTGCGTGTGTATATGTGAGTCAGTGCTCATATGCTCACATATATTTGGCCAGTGTTCGGCTCCCCATGCCACCGTTCGCCTGACCCCCGTCTATTAAATAATATTGATTTTTCATATTCCAACCCACTCTCAACACACGCCTATGCCACAATCTACGCTCGCTCTTTTCGTTCGTTGCGTGCGCCTGTGTGTGTATGTATTTATACGCGTGTGCTTGTGTATGAGTGTGTGTGCAAGTGTGTTTTTTGGTCTCCTTTGTGCGCTCGTATTCATTTTGCTATTTCTTCTTTTTTCTCTTACTTCGTTGCAGTTTATAGATTTTTGCAATTGTGTCCGTTGAGCAGAAATATGTAAACTAAATGCAGCGCGCCGCAAACAGCAGCAGTGCATGCAAAAATAACAACAACAGCAACAACAACAATAGGAATAACACCAACAATAACAACAGAACGAATTATTTCTTATTGGGACAATAATAAGAAGAAGACAAAAACAGAAGCCAAGAAGAAACTTAATTGAAAAGTTTTCATACGTCGTCAAACAACACAGGCAACTCAGACGCCGACGCCGACCAACAGTGCCTATGTACATTGGTTACAAACATTGTTCATTCATTTGATTACTTACTTACCCCCAAACCCATAAACAATAATAAGGAGCAACGGTGTAAACAGAATTGTGCCCGTCTCTGTCTCTCCGGAACCAGGACTGCCATAGTCATAGTCAATAGTCAAAGCCAAAGCCGCCCAGCGTAGACTTCTGTAGAATTACGATACGATACACACAGTACACACCTACACCAACACACACAGACCGACCGACACACACTTCAACAGTCACACCTGATAAGCAGCCAACATAATAGAACAAACGACGACGGCGCTTAGCATTTGTGACGTTGGTGCAGCCACAGGGCGCAAAAATGACATTCGATACGCGCCGGCAGGGCACAGGAACTGGCCAAGCCACGACCAACAACAGCAGCAGCAGCGCCTCCACAACCAATACCACTACTACCACCAACAGCACCACCACCACCGCCACCGCGGGCGTAACGAGCACAGCTCAAGACGCTGGCTCTGTTACGGGCACGGGAACGGGAACGGGTACGGGTACAGGCACAACATCGGTCACAACATCGAATATGTCCAGCAGCGGTGGCGATACAAACAATAGCAATACGAGCAGTCAGGATGCGAACCAAGTGACGGATGCACCGACAGCAGCAGGTGTTAATACTTCAGAGAGTGCCGCTACAGTAATGTGAGTACTAAATATTTTAGCCATTTGTTGTTATTCATAGCAATATAATTTCAACTGCGTAGTTAATGGAGCTAGACTACCTAAAATATTCGCAATTTGAATGCAAAGAAAAATAGTTTTGCCTTAGGGCAACATTTTCTTATCCATCTGATGGTGAAAAGCAAAGTATCTATAATTGGTCATATAGTAAGATGACGCAAAATAATAAGCTATTTTTAAGTACGAACATCAATAAGTTTTCTTACAATCATTTCGACCTTTTATTTACACATTTTGTCTGACGTCTTCCTAACCATAACAAAAAGACTGCAACCGTAGTTGAACGTTAAAAATATATTGTATGCAAATAAACAGTTTAGTTTTGTGCGGTCAATTTTTCAAGTGAATTCTTTACAGTTTGTCATAAATTGATTTGACTATTAGTCAATTTGTATTGAGCAGCTGGCCAGTTGC